CTGCACATGTAGGCATAGTATTTGCAAATGACAGCTTTTTTTCTTTTCTAATTCCTATACCTTTTAATTCTTCTTCTTTTTTTTTTTTTTAAAGATTTTATTTATTCATTTGACAGAGAGAGACAGCGAGAGAGGGAACACAAGCAGGGGGAGTGGGAGAGGGAGAAGCAGGCTTCCTGCTGAGCAGGGAGCCCGATGTGGGGCTTGATCCTAGGACCCTGGGATCACGACCCGAGCTGAAGGCAGACACTTAACGACTGAGCCACCCAGGTGCCCCTCTTTTTCTTATTTTACTATACTAGCTAGTGTTCAGTAGAACTGGTAACATCAGACATTCTTTTGTTCTTAATCTCAGAAAGACCAATTTCATGTCATTTGCATAGGATTTTTTAGAAGTACCCTTTAACAGATTATGAAAGTGTCCTTCTAGTCTTAATTTTCTAAGAGGTTTTGTTTGCTTTTTAATCATAAGCAAATGTTGAATTTTATCAAGCACTTGTCCTGTATCTTTTTTCTTTAAATTTTTATTGTTGTGTTAATCACCATATATTACATCATTAGTTTTTTTTTATAAAGATTTTATTTATTTATTTGAGAGAGAGAGAATGAGAGAGAGAGAGCACGAGAGGGAAGAGGGTCAGAGGGAGAAGCAGACTCCCTGCTGAGCAGGGAGCCCGATGTGGGACTCGATCCCGGGACTCCAGGATCATGACCTGAGCTGAAGGCAGACGCTTAACCAACTGAGCCACCCAGGCGCCCTACATCATTAGTTTTTGATGTAGTGTTCCATGATTCATTGTTTGTGTATAACACCCAGTGCTCCACGCAGAACGTGCCCTCTTTAATACCTGTATCTTTTTAAATGGTCATAAGACCTTTTCTTTTAATCTGTTAATGTAGCATATTTCACTGATTAAACGTTTTAGAGTTAAAAACCACCTTGCATTCTTGAGATAGACCAAACTTGCTATTTGCATCTTTGCTCATAAATGAGAGTGGCTTGTAATTTTCCTTTCTTGTATCATCCTTTCCAAGTTTTAGTATCAGGCTATGCTATCCTAAAATGAGTTAGGGAGTAAGTCTTTTTGTTCTATTCTCTGGTGCAAATTTTATATAGTATTAGAATTACTTCTTGAGTATATGTGGGACTGGGATATTTGTGTGTTTTGGGGGGACAATTTTAAAAATTATGAAGTAACAGTTACAGGAGTATTCAGATACTCTATTTCTTTGTGATTCAGGTTTGCCTATTTATCTATATTTTCTAGTCTCTTAGCATAAAATTGTTCATAATACTCTCTTTTACCTTTAATGTCCATAGAATCTATAGTTCTGTACTTCTTTTCATTCCAGGTATTGGTTATTCATGTCTTATCTCTTTCTTCAGTTTGCTAGAGAGGTTTGCCAATTTTGTGTTTTCAAAGAATTTTTGGCTTTGGTGCTCTGTTGCATGGTTTGTTTTCTATGTCATCCGTTCTGCTTTTTTTATTCATTCTATGTTTTTAAGGTTTATTTTGCTATTCTTTTTGTAACTTCTTCAGGTAAATGTTTACTAGCTTACTGATTTCAGCCTTTTTTTTCTAATACATGCATTTAAAGCTGTACATTTCTTTTTTTTTAAAGCTGTACATTTAAAAAATTTTTTTATTGTTATGTTAATCACCATGCATTACATCATTAGTTTTTGATGTAGTGTTCCATGTTTCATTGTTTGTGCATAACACCCAGTGCTCCACGCAGAACGTGCCCTCTTTAATACCCATCACCAGGCTAACCCATCCCCTCACCCCCCTCCCCTCTAGAACCCTCAGTTTGTTTTTCAGAGTCCATCGTCTTTCATGGTTCGTCTCCCCCTCCGACTCACTCCCCTTCATTCTTCCCCTCCTGCTATCTTCTTCTTTTTCTTTTTTCTTAACATATGTTGCATTATTTGTTTCAGAAGTGCAGATCTGTGATTCAACAGTCTTGCACAATTCACAGCGCTCACCATAGCACATACCCTCCTTAATGTCTATCACCCAGCCACCCCATCCCTCCCACCCCCCACCACTCAGTTTGTTTCCTGAGATTAAGAATTCCTCATGTCAGTGAGGTCATATGATACATGTCTTTCTCTGATTGACTTATTTCACTCAAAGCTGTACATTTCTAAGTTCTGCATCCCACAATTTTGTTATGCAGCATTTTTATTAGTGCTCATTTCAAGATAATTTTCAGTGTTTCACTATGATTTATCTGTTGACTCGTGGGTTATTTAGCAGTTTATTTCTTAATTTCTAAATACGTGAAGATTTTTCATTTAACTTTTTGTCATTAATTTCTGTCTTAATTGAACTGTGGCCAGAGAGTTCTGGATTTCAGACCTTCAAAATTTGTGGCCAAGTGTATGGTTGCTTGTTATGAATGGTCCATATATGCTGGAAAGAATATGTGTTCTGTAGATGTTGGGTATATTATTCCATAAATGTCCATTAGGCCATGTTTTTTATTTTTTATTATTTTTAGTTTTTTAAGATTTATTTATTTATTTGAGAGAGAGAGGGAGAGAGAGTTCATATGAGTTGGGGGAGGGGCAGAGGGAGAAAATCTTCAAGCCAACTTTCCCCTGAGTGTGGAACATCAGTGCTGGGCTGGACCCCAGTGCGGGGCTCAGTCCTATAACCCATGAGATCATGACCTAAGCTCTGAAACCAAGAGTTGGACGCTCAACTAACTGAGCCACCCACGTGTCCCTAGGCCATGTTTTTTTTTTTAAATTTTTTTAAAGATTTTATTTATCCATTTGAGAGAGAATGAGAGAGAGAGAACTTGAGAGGGGGAGGGTCAGAGGGAGAAGCAGACTCCCCGCTGAGCAGGGAGCCCAGTGCGGGACTCGATCCTGGGACTCCAGGATCATGACCTGAGCTGAAGGCAGTCGCTTAACCAACTGAGCCACCCAGGCGCCCCCTCGGCCATGTTTTTTAATCCTGTGTATTTCATAGATTTTTGTTTTACCTGCTTATTCTGTCAGACACTGAGAGAGTTGTTAGAATCTCCTGCTACAGTTCCTGTTGTATCCTTCTGGGAAATTGAAATTTTTAAACTGAATATGTGTATCTCATATTTTTTACTTTAGATTTTCTGTTGCTTAATCTTAATATAGCTGTACTTTTTTTTTTACTATTTGCCCCCCCTATTACTTTCAATCTTTCTGTGTCCTTGTTTCATGTGTGTCTCTTATAACCAGTGAATTGTAGTGTTTATTAAGTCCAGCCAGGTAATCTGTGTCTTTTAACTGGAGCAGGTTAGTCAATTTGCATATGATATAATTACAGTACTTATATATTTGAATTTATACCTCCATTTTATTTTAGTCTCTCCATTTCTTTTTCTTTTTTTCCCCTCCTTTTTTTGAATTGATTTTTAAAATAAATTCTTTGTCCTCACCCTGGTAATAGTATGGAAGTTACACTTTCTATTTCCCTTTTTTCAGTTGTCTCCTGAGAGATTCTAGTAGGCATTCTTATTTCAGAAGCCCAGTGTTAATTATCACCTTTCCTGGGCGCCTGGGTGGCTCAGTCATTAAGCGTCTGCCTTCGGCTCAGGTCATGATCCCAGGGTCCTGGGATTGAGCCCCACATTGGGCTCCCTGCTCGGCGGGAAGCCTGCTTCTCCCTCTCCCACTCCCCCTGCTTGTGTTCCCTCTCTCGCAGTCTCTCTCTCTAAATCTTAAAAAAAAAAATCTTAAAAATTATCACCTTTCCTCTCCTTCCAGGATCAGTGCATTAGGACCCTGTAACTCCATTTGTTCTCTTCAGTTTAGTGTTTTATATATCTTTAAATCTCACATGACATTATTTCATGTAGGGGGAATATCCATGTAAATTTACCCATATATTTATTATTACTTTTTTAAGCTTTTCACTTTTTTCTTGCATCACACCTCTCTGTGATAATCTTTTTTTTTTTTTTTTAAAGATTTTATTTATTTATTTGACAGAGAGAGAGACAGCGAGAGCAGGAACACAAGCAGGGGGAGTGGGAGAGGGAGAAGCAGGCTTCCCGCCGAGCAGGGAGCCCGATGCGGGGCTCAATCCCAGGACCCTGGGATCATGACCTGAGCTGAAGGCAGATGCTTAACGACTGAGCCACCCAGGCGCCCTGTGATAATCTTTTTGCCAGCAATATGTCCTTTGCATTTCCTTTACTGTGGGTTAGCTGGACGTGAACTCTCAGTTTTTGGTTGACTACAAATACCTCTCCCCTTACCCTCTTGAAACATATTTTAACTGAATACTGAATGCTAGGTTAATAGAATGCGAAGATAGGGAATAGGAGTGGGAAGGAGGAGAGACAGCATGAGTGAGAGGGGCAGAGGGAATCTCAAGCCGACTCCATGCTGAGTGTGGAGCCTAATGTGGGGCTCGCCTCAGGGCTTGATGTGGGACTGTCCTCAGGGCTTGATCTCATGACCCCAAGATCATGACCCTGAGATCTTGACCTGAGCCAAAACCAAGAGTTGGATGCTTAACTGACTGCACCACCCAGGTACCCCTGGTGTCTCAGAATTCTAAGGACACTAATCCTGTTGTATCAAGGCCCCACCTTTATGACCTCATTCAATCTTAATTACTTCCTTAGAGGTCCTATCTCCAAATACAGCCACACTGATGGGGTTACAGCTTCAACATGGGAATTTGGGGGGGATGCAAACAATGAGTCCACATACTAGCTGGCATTTACATAATGGTTGAGGGTCTTATGGCTTATATTACTTCTGATGTCTCTACTGTTGATAATAGTGAATCACTTTCCATGTATTTGGGCATATTCTCCCCCATAATTATTTAGCAAGTGTATAGGGAAGAGAATAAAATTTATCTTTGCATATGTTTCTGTAATCTACAGAATTTGTTGGTGAGGTTGTTGTACACTTCCCAGCTAAATTCTAACCATCTATTGTAGTTTAGTAAAAGATTTTCAGCTTAATTGCAAATTGACTCTGTTTTTCTTTATTGTAGCTGTGTTGGTGTAGAGGAACATCATGCTGTTGACATTGACCTTTATCACTGTCCCAACTGTGCAGTTCTACATGGTTCCTCCTTGAGTAAGTATTAGAAACATAAATAAATACCAAAGTTTAGAATTCAATGTGTACATGACAATATTTTAATAATAACTTTGACTAGTTATGTTACATCCACCAGGAACTATAGGGAATATTTTTCTGAAGATACTGAGAATACAGTTTCTGTCTGAATTATTGAATAACATTTAATAAGTCAAGATAAAATGAAAAAAATACTGTTTTTTTTTCCCTTTAAAGATTTATCTATCTTAGAGAGAGAGTGTGAGAAAAAGCAGGTGTGTGTGAGTGGTGGGGGACAGAGGAGAGGGGGAGAGGAAGAGAATCTTAAGCAGACTCCCCACTGAGCATGGACCCCAACATGACCCTAGATCACGACCTGAGCCGAAATCAAAAGTTAGATGTTTAACCACTTAACCCAGGTGCCCCCAAAATACTATCATTTTTAATTGCCAGTGCAAAGCCCCCAAACTTAAGGACATATATTCAAAGCTTTCAATTTGAGAAGTGTGGAAAAGTAAAATATTCTGATTCTGGAAACTGATTTCAGATGTTTTTATCTTTTTATAAATTAAAAACTTTCAGTAATATTTGGGACAGTGTACAGGATAAGACTTTAATGCACACACATGCATTATATTTTTAGGGGGAAATTCGGGTATCAGTATGCTGAAATGTTATTCTATTTTCTGAATTTGGTCATCAGTTTGAGTATGGCCTAGAGTCCTGCCCAGTTTGAAACCACACCCCTGTCCCAGTCCCATTCTGAGGAAGGCAGAGGCCAGAGCAAGTGTCTGCCTACACTCCTCTGTCTGAGGGGCAGGGTGCAGGCCGGGAAATTCATGTGCCCTCTGGGGTGTACCAGTATCCCACATAAAATGATATTTATCCCTAGCCTTTTACAGATGCTTCAGAAGAATAGATTGGAGTGTTAATTGTGCAGGTAGAAAGTAGAGATAACGTTTAAAAAGCTTTGAAGGATGTTGTAACTTTCTTTTTTAAAAAAATTTAGACTGCGAGCTAGCATTTTTGTGTTCATTAAAACTAAAGGGGAAAACTATAGATTTAGTCATAGGAACCTTTTTCTGAGCGTACTTTGATACACATTTGGGTGAGATGTAGGTGACCTATACAACCTCTTTTATTATCATTAAAAAAAAAATTTTTTTTTTTTGAGAGGAAGAGAGAGAGTCTTAAGCAGGCTCCATGCCCAGCGCGGAGCCTGACGCGGGGCTCAATCTCATAACCCTGAGATCATGACGTGAGCTGAAATGAAGAGTTTGGACGCTTAACTGACTGAGCCACCCAGGCGCCCCACAAACTATTTTAAATGCAGCTTTTTTCCTAGTACTTTTTTTTTTTTAAGTAGGCTCCATGCCCAGCGTAGAACCCAACGTGGGGCCTGAACTCACAACCCTGAGATTAAGACCTGAGCTGAGATAGAATCAGACTCTTAACTGACTGAGCTACCTAGGAGCCCCCCAGTACTTTTTTTTTTAAATAGAAATTTTTATCTTAGGTTGTGGGCAAGTAATTCTGTAAAAGAGACTTACTAGCAACTGACTGCTGATCTGTTAGAAATATTAGTAATTTACCTAATTTCTTTGTAAGAGATTTAGAAATTCAAGCTATAAGAATACATCAAAATATTACATTAAATTTCATAATATGTTACAATACAGGTTATCCATTTTATTAGTTACACAGTATAAAATTTGAGGTTAGCAGATTGGTAGAGTTGTTAGTATTCTTGGCCAGTTTATTGTCATAAATGGTTTTAAAGTTCTTTGTGTAGCAGTGAAATATGTGGTATATAACTTGGAATAATTATTGACCAAGTGTAATTTTTGGAAGAAATATATAATACTGGGTTTTTACCTCAAGAAAGGAAACAGAACTAAAATTTATAGCAGTTTTAGTTTAGAATTTATGTAATCCCCAAATGAAATAATTTGAATTTAATTTCTATGAAATATGTGGGTTACTGTGAGATGGAACAGTGTCGTGTTTAAAACAGTCTGATACGTGATGCATTCTGTTTTCTGTTTTTCCTATATGATTTAATTTTTTAAAAAGCTTGTCATGCTCACTAAATTGATTTCATAATCCATAATGGATCACAACCTGCACTTTGAATAATGGTGCTTCAAAGAGAAGCTTGACTATTGTGTGGCCCTTCGTATGCTTCTCTTGCTTGAATAACATAAGATCAGGAATTGGTTATTTTCTGGGCAAAAGTCCAACACTAAATACCCACAGGAAAATGTCCAAGATCCAGTAATTTATTTTATCTTGATTTAAGGCTCACCTTCCCTACCTCTCACCCTCCACCCTCAACTTGGGTCATTGCTTTTGGCCCCTTTCCCTCTGCTATTAAGGCCCTCTTGCTTGCCACCTAGAGCTTCCTGTTCTCTCAGAGTTCCCAGGAATCCTTATTGTAGATACTATTTAGGCAGTATAATATTCACTTGGTTGGTAAATTTAGATTTGACCTTTTTAATGGGAGTTAAGAACTCTATTCAAGGACAAGTATCAAAAAAGTCCCATACTTACACACATACCTCAGTGTTCCTCAGGCACATGGAATCCAAACTCAAAATTTTCTCTCCCTATGACCACTACTAGAATATTCCTTCCTTTAAGAAATTCAGTCAGGGGGCGCCTGGGTGGCTCAGATGGTTAAGTGTCTGCCTTCAGCTCAGGTCATGATCCCAGGGTCCTGGGATCGAGTCCCGCATCGGGCTCCCTGCTCCTTGGGAGCCTGCTTCTCCCTCTGCCTCTCTCTCTCTCTGTCTCATGAATAAATAAAATCTTTAAAAAAAAAAAAAAAGAAATTCAGTCAGCTTCTTGCAGTGGCTGATTTTATGTGTTAAGCACGTTGGCCTACCAGGACACTTGTAGCCTTCTGTTAACATTATGCAAATCTGCTCATTTAAAAGGAAAGAAAAGTAATTGGCAGCTTATTGGATGCCCCAGAAACTATGCCAAGAAGTACTTGACCTCTGTTATTTCCTTTGATATTTGTAACACGTTGAGGTGAGAAAAATGATCTAACTAGCTCTTTCATGTAGTTATTTGGCAGAGCTGGAGTTTGAGCCCGTAGCTGTCCAATCCCAAATCTATTCTAATTCTAATCTATTCTGCCAAAATGAAAATTCAAACAATGTAATATCATAGTTTACTTATCAAATGGGTAACTTTTCTTTTTCTCTTTTTAATTTAAACTTAATTTTTTAAAGATTTATGAATTTATTTGAGAGAGAACATGTGCAAGCAGGGGGAGGGGCTAAGAGAGAGGGAGACAAGCAGACCTCCCTGCTGAGCAGGGAGCCTGATGCGGGGCTCGATCCTAAGACCCCCAGATCATTACCTGAACTGAAATCGAGTCAGATGCTCAACTGACTAAGCCACCCAGGTGCCCCTCTTTTTTTTTTTTTAATGATGATGCTCACTGTTGACTCAGGGCTACGAAATAGACTGCTTATATATACTGGTAAGAATGTGAGTTACCTACCACTTTTTTGGAGGCAGTTTTGCAATATGTAGCAAGTATCTTAAAAATATTGAGTCTTCTAGCATTTTTAGGAATTTATCCTGAGGAATTAATGAAGGAAACAGATTTATGTATATGAATATTAATCTCAACTTTGAAGAAAGATTCAGAATGAGCTAAGTGCTTAAGACTCAAAAAAGGATTATAAAGTGATGCATTTATATCTATGTCTTAAAATTCTAGGCTGCTTTTAAATTGCTTTTGAATATTTAATAAGGAGAAAAATGCTCATGATAGAATAAGAAAGGTAAGCAGGATGAACATCATGATCCCAGTTGAAAATAAAATGGGATTATGTATCTATATATATGTAGAACAGAAGCCTGGAATGAAACACCCTTGAATTTTACAAGTGATTTTAAATGAGAAAAAATAACACATGAAGGATGCCTTAATGGCATTTTCTAGGAAGATTGCTTTATGATTCTCAGTTTTTCTCATGAGACTTCTAAAACATGGGGTTTACTCTTTTCCATATTGAGGGTTTGACTGCCATGAATTACTTTGAGAATCTTGTTTTAAACCCTCAGATATGAATAAGCCCAATTTCCTCCCTTATTGGTTATTTAGTGTGACTTCTCCTTATCCATGTGAGGATCCAGTGTAATTTTATTATTATGATCTTTTAGGGTGAAGGTTTGGAATAACTTAGACTCATAGAGTTGCCCCTGCCCCATGTTTTACTAGAAAATGTTCAAACATATGGGAAAAGTTGAAAGACTTCTGTAGGGAGTACCTCCAAACTCACCATGTAGACCCTACTCTTAATATTTTACATTATTTGCTTTACCACACAGTCTGTGTAACTATCTCACTATTTATGTATCCATCTTATTTTTTCATGCATTCTAAGCTAGTTGTAGACTTTAGTACATTTCCCAGAATCATGAAGGTTTTAGGCTTAAGAGTGATTTTTTCTTTTTTTTTTTTTTAAGATTTTATTTATTTGTTAGAGAGTAGAGAGAGCACAAACAGGTGGAGGGGCAGAGGGAGAGGGAGAAGCAGGCTCCCCACTGAGCAAGAAGCCCGATGTGGAACTCAGTCCCAGGACCCCGGGATCATGACCTGAGCCGAAGGCAGACGCTTAACCATCTGAGCCACCCAGGAGTCCCTTAAGAGTGATTTTCAAATTTAAGAAAAGATATAAAACTGACATCTTACATTGCTAACACACGAAAGGGCTGTAGGTGGTGCTGCCCTGGTGGAAAGCAGAATGAGATCCAGAGTTCCTTTTGTGGCCTCTTCCCCATCTTCCCCTTTATTAAGGGTTCCTCAGCATGGTTGGAAATACAGCACTTCTAAAAAAAAAAAAAAAAGAAAGGGAGGAGGGAGGGAGGGGGGAAGGAAGGAAGGAAGGAAGGAAGGAGAGAGACAGCACTCCTCCCTTCATTTCCATTTGAGGAAACTGGACCCAGACGTGTCGCATGACTTGCCCAAGGTTGCAGAGTAAGTTATGGCAGAAATAGGAGTCCAATCCAAGTGTCTCCTGATGTTGACTGCCATGACTCTTGAAGGTTGTAGCTGCCCAGAGCTGTAGAGTCACAGGATCTGAGCATTAGAACTAATCATAAAGTTATTTGTTCTGTCATTCCTCCTTCCTTTAATTATGAGGAAGCCACCTGCTCTTCTTTTGTGGCAGTGTAAGCCTGCTTATGTTGGGGATAGATCTTGACATAAGAGAGAAGGGAACTGTGCTGTTAAAATAGATTTCTCATGTGGGATCAGTGACTTGGATGATTCATAAAAATCATACTATGACTTCGTGGTCTAGTGAAAATCATGATTTAAAATAATCGTGATATTTTATAATAGTGTAAGTATGGATATTGTAATGAGCTCCATCTGCTAATTTGAATTTGCTGATTTAAAATTTTTTTGAAATAAAGAGATTTAAAAACATTTTTTAATGCTCTTCTTTTCAAAATTTTATTTAAATTCTACTTAGTTAACATACAAGAGTAGATTTTTAAAAATCCAGAGTTAATCGCCTATAATTGTGGCCTTACACAAAGTAAAATTTACCGCTTCAGCCTGGAAATGAATTAAAAAGGGGGTGGTTTTTTGCGCTTATAGTTGTTATTCTTTCTGATCATATAGAATACACTTTTTAGGAAGTACATGGTATCACCAGTTATCACAACTGTTTTCTTTTTTAATCTCCTAAAAACGCAGTGAAGAAGCGGAGGAACTGGCACCGGCACGACTACACGGAAGCTGACGACGGCTGCAGGCCGGTGCAGGCCGGGACGAGGGCTTTCGTCAGGGGCTTGCGCTCTCGCGTCTTCCCGAGGTACGGACGCTTGTTCCTGCCGAAGAAAACCTGAGAATGTCACCTAGTAAAGTGGCGTCATCTAAAGCAATGTTTTCAGACTTAAGGTTGCCACCCGTTCTCAGCTTTTTACTCTTGTTTTTTTCATGAAATAGAAACAAACTAGTGGCGCGTCGTAAGTAACAGGAGTGGGTAGGCGCAGGCTCGTGGACCTGCTGTGTCATACGTATGTGTACCCGCGCACCTTGTAAAAATATGCTAACTGTGGATCTCCATCCAGAAAATTTGAGATACGCTCACCTAAGGCAGTCGTCCCCAGGACTGGGCTCCCCCTGATGTGCAACAGCTGCTTGTCTTCCCCTGTCACCTCACCTGTTCGGATTTTCAAACTCCGTTTTTTTCTTGGGTTGTTTTCATATCTCTCTCTCTACCCTGGGTCTGTTAGAGGTACCCATACCCATTGCTCAGTCTCTCTGGTGGCAGCAGGACTGGGCTTTTTGATTTTTAGAAGTAATGGGAAGTGTTTGACTTCTCTGTGGCTCAGAGGGAGTCAAAAGTATTACACAGCATTTAATCATGCTAATTTAGATCATTTCCTGCTCGCTGCCTGACATCTATTTAAAGTGATAATGCTTAATAGCCTTTTACACAAGATCATATCCAGGCTTGTTAAAGAAGGGAAGCATAATTTAAATTTAAATCTCAACATCACATGCAGCCTATTACGGAATTATTTCAGATCCTGTAACTATAAAACCCTTGCTATTTCTTCACAGTCTTTAACATTCCTGTCTATCCCTCTCCCCCTTAATCCTTAAACAGAAACATATAATTGATCTGCACATAATGTTGGCTCCCTCAGGTCTGCTGAGCTTTCCACAGTGGTTTCCACATGACTTCTGTGATATTAAAGGCCTTTGTCTCAAATATTCTCTTTTATCAGTTTCTAAGTGGTTGGAGGAATGTTTGTTTTCCTGGATTGGTTTGGAGCCTAGGGCCAGAGTTTTCAGCCTGGGTCTATGAACTGGCTTCAGAGAGGCTTGTGAGTTTCTTAAGCCTGTATAAAGTGTTTAGTGTCAATATGTGAATGTGCGTTTTTCAGGAAGAGGAGCCGTGGCTTTTATTTTTTTCGCATAGGCTTGTGACCTGAAAGAACAGCGTTAAAAACCCTGGCCTGGTGCTGCCTGTGGCCTCTGTACCAAAGTAATAACCGAGGAGAGCAGGTTATAGGGATGGTCACAAATGTCTACACTCTAATTACCGTTAATCAAAGGTTTTTGGTTTTATTTTGTTTAACTCCATAAACCTTCCCATCATTTAAAACCATATATAGAGTGACAGTAATTAATTAAATTACACATACTTGATGTGATTAACACAGAAGTGTATAAAATAAAGGGAACAGGTTATCTCACCTCCTCCCCCTCATTTTAAAACTTAGGGTGAGCCTTTTGAGACATTTTTCTACACAAATGATTACATTAAAAATATTTTTTATGTATATCTGTGGATGTGTGTGTGTGTATATATATGTGTATCTAATTTTTAAAAAATAAAATGGGGTTATGTTATGCATATGATGTGCAACTTTCTTTATTCTATTTCATCGGTATCTTTCCCTGTGTATACAAAAATTTACCTCCCTCAACAGCTGTGTAGTATGCAGTTGTGTATATTCACCATAATTTACTTAACCATCCCTCGATGGTGTATGTTTAGTTTGTCTCCAATTTTTTTCTCTTGCAAATAATAATGTACCTATATTTTTAAGCGCTTGTATTTATATATTTTTGATCGATGGGGTAAGTAAAACACCACAAATATTAAAGATCAGGAAGTACAAGTGATTCGAAATTCTCCCTCAGATTGGAGTTGAGGGAATTGTTTGATTCTCAGAGTTTGGGGAAAGAGGACAACTGGTAGATGATTGTGGGGAAACTAAAAGGCAGTACAGAGCTCAGTGAGTCAGATGAAGGAGATCTAAACCCTTCAAATATAAGACTATCCAGAAAAAGTCTGTCTCATTTTGGGGAGCTTCAAACTGACCTTTTCTTATTGAGAGGGTGGACAGATCAGAACCCAATAATTCAGAGAACCAGTATCTCTTGTCTTCTTGATGCCAAGGCTGCAGGTGACATCAAGACAGTTAAGGTCTGATTGTGTAAATGGCAACTGTTTGTTTTAAGCTGTAAAGCAAGTGTTGTTCTTTTTTGAATGTATAACAGCTGCATTCTGGGAGCAATTGGGAGATAAAATCTAGAACATCCCCATTTAAAGAGATCTTTGACTTATGGTTAGAGGACAGTAGAAAGGGACAAACCACACTTAAGTGTGATGCTTATGACGTGTTACTCATGAGAGTGGGCAGCTGGGGTTGAATCCCTTTTTAGTGGCTTAAGGTGACCACTTGCTGTAACTTATAAAATACTGGTTGTAACAGATAAATTGGGAGTTCATTTTTGACATTTGTCTCAATGGACGGGGACCATGGGAGCTAGGCGTCCTCTGTTGTGCAGGACAACAGTGAATTGTTCTGTGTCCGTGAGACTTTGAAATGTCTAACAAATATTTGTGTAGAATTTTATAGCCAGATAGAATCTTAACTGTTTTACTTATCCTGACACCAGTTTTTATTCTAATGTGCCCCCTTACCTTTTGCTCTTCTGATTTCCTGCACAGCTTGTGGTTAGTGGCTTCTGATCTAGTTACTTCTCTTAAATTCAGTCACTCGTTACAAGAAGTTGTAATCATTCTATTATTATATTATCTCTTCTAGTGTAGTTATCTAAACATTTACATATTGAAATATATATTTTGCTATAAACTAATTTTCTTGTTTTGGTGAAGGCATTTAATATAATACATATATATTTTTCCAATTGTATATATTGAAGTAATTATCTATGACTTTTACTTTAGGATAGTAAAAGGGACTTGATAAAACATTTGTTCTAGAAAGGAGAATCAGGTATGATAGGTTGAGAACTGCTGATACAGACAATAATATAGTATATGAGTTAACCGTTACCAGACTATTTTTCTTTTAAAGTGAATTTTCCAACAAAGATGACATGTTACTCTTATGTTTTCCTTAGTGCCGATGAAATCGTTGTAAAGATGCATGGCAGCCAGCTGACACAAAGATACCTGGAGAAACATGGATTTGAAGTTCCTATTATGGTCCCCAAATTAGATGATCTAGGACTCAGGCTCCCTCCACCTACTTTTTCTGTCATGGATGTGGAACACTATGTAGGTACGCGCTTGATTCCTTTAAGTACTTGGGAAAATGGTGGTAAAAGTAGTAGTAGTAGTGTTCTAATTACATTAGAAGTTGAGTGAGGAGATGTTAGTTTAGTTTTCTGGGTCAGGAAAAGTGAAGTTCAGGATCGCCTAGGTTGAAAACTGTTTCTTCTGAGCAAACCTACAATTGTCAGAAAAAGAGAATGAAACACCTGATCTGTTTTATTTATTCAGCCTCATCCTGCCACTTTTTTTTTGTTATCATCAAATTTTCTGGTACTTGCTTAGGAGAAATAGTTGCTGAGGCGTAACTACAGGTACCAGGAGGAAGACACTGGGAAATTGGACTGGTTCTAGGACTCTGTAGCATTCAGGAGCGGGATCATTGACCTCTGGTACCTAGAGAAAGGCTGGAAAAAAGAGGAGACCATGTTCAAGCCGTTTCTATATTCATGACTGGATGATATTGCCACTTCATGGTGTCTGGACTCAGTGTGCGATTTTGAGGCCCAGAAAGGTATAAGAAACAAGGGGGAAAACCATTTCTCTGTTGCAGTCTTCCTGACCTTTTCAGTCATTTTGTTCATTCTCATCATGGTATCTATAGGTAAAACTGACTATATGTAGATCTCATTCCATGTCAGCTGTAGGTAGAGATTTTTTTTTGAGGATTAGATCTCAAATCGACCTTGACTCCGAACTGTACATTTACTGCAGTGCATTATCTCCTGAGTATAAAATGTCTGAGAACTTGACCCTTTATTGAGCCATTGAGTGACAGTTTTCATTGATAACTGCTTCGCTGAGGAAACCCAGCTTAATGTCATGAGTTTACATTCAGCTACTTCTGAATTATTTGATAAAGTAGGGGATGAGGCTGAGGTTTAACCCGAGCCTGTTTGCATAAGTAGCACTGTAAAATAAGTGGCTAGTGTAATATAAGTATAGGAAAAAATAGTCCAACGCCTAGATAGTTTACTTTTTAGCACTGCAAAATGCTTCAGTTAACAGAACTGTTTGCCTCTTAAGTATAAAATAAAGTCTACTAGGCAGTGCATTAATATAACATTACACTAAAGTAAGAAAATGGCATTTATTTGATTTCTCTCTCAGATTGATTAAGTATTGCCGTATTTTGAATTCCATTTGTCTGTTCTGTAGGACATTGCAAAACTGGGTATGCTTTCTAGGGTGACAATACAGTGATGTGCGAGAGATGCCTCATGGTTTTCTAGGAAAATTCTAAATCCCAATTGAGAACTCATTTCATATGCATTAATATGAACTGATTTTTGCTTCCTAACCACTGATTTTTTTTTCTTGAAGCAGAGTGTTAGAAGAGAAGATACTACCTGGCAAGCAGAAATTGTCATGGTTACATTGTACACTAATTCCACAGTGACTGACTGGTTTTTCTAAATGATAGAATCTTAGGTGTTACAGAAGCGAAAGGAGGAAGTCAGTCCCCTCATTTTATGCATGAGGATGTGGAAACTCAGAGCACGTAGCACAGTTCCCACATACCAATATAATGCATTTTTGTCAGTGTGAGCTGCACACAAGAAATCATTAGTGTGTAGAAAACCTCGTAAACATTTAAGTTTTCTCACTCATGTTAATTAGTAACTGTCTTAATTGCTTCATTCTTTCCCTCAAAAGCATCCCCCTTTTCCAAAAGTTCCAGTTGGACTTAAAAAGTAAGGATACAGGCAGAATCTTTGTCTAGGCTATGTAGTTTTATGGTTGGCTTTAAGTAAATACAGTTTTTAAAATTTTTTTAAGGCATCTATTGATGTAACTCTTAAGCCCAATAATAAGACTATAATTTTTCTCTGCAGGTGGTGACAAAGTGATAGATGTCATTGATGTGGCAAGGCAGGCAGACAGCAAAATGACCCTTCACAATTATGTTAAATACTTCACGAATCCTAACAGACCAAAAGTGTTAAATGTGATCAGCCTTGAATTTTCAGATACAAAGTGAGTAGTTCTGGACATTTTGGTTTAGTCTTCTCAGTGTTAGTTAAATGTAGTTAAATGATAAATTTATTTTAGTAAGAACCTAATTATGACTTCTAAAGTGGTCCAGTAATAGCACTGTTGTACATTTTGCTTTGGCACGCAGAGAATATTTAGAAATATGATGAATTTTAAACTTTTAAGTATTGTTGTTAACCTAGAGTTCCATTTAATTTCTTGGTTTGGGTTGAGATGGGAGATGAAACTTTAAGAACTTTTGATTTGCATGATGTGGGTATGTGTGTATATGTGTGTTTGTTTTTTTAAAGGATGTCTGAATTGGTGGAGGTCCCTGATATAGCCAGAAAACTTTCCTGGGTGGAAAATTATTGGCCAGATGATTCAGTTTTTCCCAAGCCATTTGTTCAGAAATACTGCTTAATGGGAGTTCAAGACAGCTACACAGATTTCCACATTGACTTTGGTGGAACTTCAGTTTGGTACCATGTCCTCTGGGTAAGATTGGGGTATTTCTTTGTTCTCTCATTGACAGAAACATGTAGTCCTATTTTTCCAGGAATGCATTCATTTGCTGTAAATGACATTTATAAAGAGGGAAGTTTTTGTACTTTTTAAGTAGGATCCAGCATTTTACCTTTAAGCATTATGTTTTTGTTTTTTTAAATCTCAAGTAATGGAGGGGCCACCATGAGTTTTTAATTTATATTTAGTTTCCTTTTTTTGTCCCCATCTTATAAATTGGTCTCTTGTAGCCTTTTGTCTCTTTGTTTCCTCTTCGCCCTAGTCAATTATCAGTTAATCCCTGAATCAAATACCGGATTACAGCAAAATTACAGTAATATTTGCTTCTGATTTTAAGGGTAGGTCAGGACAGCTAGTTGAATAAGTCAGAAATGCCCATGAAAATACTAATTCTTCTTGGCAGCTTATATTGACCTTGCTTTATCTAGAACTGCACTATTCAGTACAGTAGCCACTGGCCACATGTGGCTAAATTTAAATAATTATAATTAAATATAATTTAATATTGAGTTCCTTATTTGCACTAGTCACATTTCAAGTGCTCAGTAGCCACACGTGGCTTATGACTAGTGTATTGTATAGCACAGATACAAAACACTGCCATCATCACACACAGTTCTATCGGACAGTGCTGGTCTAGAACCAGATCTTCATCTGTATACAATGCCTGTGCTTCAGCAGGGCTCTGGACTGTATTCGATGCTGTGTCCTTGAGCTCCTGTTCTTCTTCTCTATGAGAAGGCAAAGGGTTAGTTGATTAAAGGAAGTTTATTTACAGGTCTTTAAAAAATAATTACAGATCTTAGGGGCAAGGGCAAAGTTTGCAGAGATGACTCTGTGACCTGGGCCTATTAACATGTATTTATTTCCCTACCTTGAAAATGAAATCAGTAAGATGTTTGTGATGTTTACCCTCCTCTCTTGTAACTGTTTCTCCAATGCTACTTTATTGACTCCTGGTCATATTTTGGAGGGGGAGCTTTAGCTTTTGTGAAGATGCTTAATAAGGGCAATAGTTATTGATCAGTTTGTGAAAGATGTCCTCTTGAGCCTAAAAAATCTGATAATTATCTAATTTAGATCATTATATTGGAATATTGATCCGTGTAGGCCATCCTAAGATTGGCATTTTTTTTTTTTTCAAAAATAGTGTGATTACTTCCTTCTAGGGTGAGAAGATTTTCTATTTGATAAAGCCAACAGATGAAAACTTGGCACTTTATGAGTCTTGGAGTTCATCTGTGACCCAGAGTGAGGTGTTCTTTGGAGATAAGGTGGATAAATGCTACAAATGTGTGGTAAAGCAGGGACATACTTTATTTGTTCCTACAGGTAAGGCTTTCCTCCCATCCCCTCTCCCCATAGTTGATGCTCAGTCACATGGAGTCGGCTTTTTATTAGAACCTCTGGCTTTAACATGGTTGGGAAAGAGCTTTGCATAGCCTGAGAGAGAATTCTGATCTTGGACTTTTCATTGCTTTGACCCTTAGAGGGCTTCTCTTGTAGTTAGGATCTGTTTTGGAATTGTGTTTTATGTCATTTGCCTTCATTTTAATTTTTATTCAGATAAAATTCATATGCCATAATATTTATCCTTTCAAAGTGTACAAGTTAGTGTTTTTTGGTGGATTAACAAAGCTGTGCACCCATACCACTTCCAGAACGTTTCATCACCTCAGAAAGAAAACCCTACCAGTTAGTAGGCGTTCCCCATTCCCCCTCCCCTGCGCCCCTGGCAACCACTTATTGTACTTTTCTATCTCTGTGGATTTGCCTATTCTGGATATTTCATGTTTAATATGTGGAATACGTGGTCTTTTGTATCTAGCTTCTTTTCGTTAGCTTAATGTTTACTAGGCTCATCCATGTGGTATCACATGTCAGCGCTTCCTTACTTTTTATGGCCAAATGATATTCCACTATATGGATAAACCACATTTTGTTTATCCATTCATCAGTTGATGAACATTGGGTTGTTTCCATTTTTTGGCTATTATGAATAGTGATGCTTTGAACATTTGTGTAGGAGTTTTTGTGTGGAGGTATGGTTTTCATTTCTCTTGGTTATATATATTAATGGAACTGTGGGGCCATAGAGTTTATGATGTTTAACTTTTTGAGGAACTGCTAAACTCTTTTTCATGTGGTTGCACCACTTTACATTCCCACCAGCACTGTACACATGTTCCAATTTCTCCACGTCTTTACCAACACTGTAATTATCTTTTTTATTTTGACCATTCCAGTAGATGTGAAGTAATGGTGTCTTATTGTGGTTTTGATTTGCATTTCCTTAATGAGTAATGATGCTGAACTTTTTTCTTGTACTTATTGGCTGTTTGTATATCTATCTTTGGAGAAATGTCTATTCAAATTCTTTGCCCATTTTTAAGTTGGGTTGTCTTTATTGTTGAGTTGTAAGTGTTCTTGATATATTCTGTATACTAGATATATGATCTAGATATGTCCAGATACATGATTTGCAAGTAACTCTCCTGTTCTGGGGCTTATCATTTCACTTTCTTTATATGTTCTTTGTAATGTCCTTTGCACAAAATTTTATAATTTTGATGACATGCTTTCAATTTTAACGGGTCAGCTCTACATTGCTATCTAAGGCCAGGCCTGCTCTAAGAATCTGGGCTGCTGTCCTGGGACACTGGAGGCAGCAGGTATATTTTGAGGGACCCTGGGAAGGGACGGAATACCAGCCTTAGCTATAGCCTCAAGTATAGGTATTAGGAGTGTCACTTTGAGATGTGACTGAAGGGGGGTGTGGACTCTCCCAGCCACTGGTTTTGAGAAGTACGTTTTTCTGATTTGGGTGACCTTAATGACTGCAGAGTTCACAGGGATCTGTTGCCACAGGCCTTGCTTTCTTGCCTTGCCTCTGGTGTATGTAATAATAAATATGTATTGAATAAATGAATGAATACATGCCAGAATTTATAAAATCTAGATAAGTATCAATATTTTTATTGTGCGTGGGCTCAGCTCCTCCCTTAATTCCTCTTCCCAGGGCTCCCTTTTGCAAAAAATATTTTGCTGTGCTCTCTTCAAAATCCTGAATTCAAATTCGTTCATGCTATAACGTCCTATACCAATTATTTCCCCCCAAATTGATGTAATGATATAACTAGAATAGAAAGAAGAAACTAAAAAGCAATTTATAATAAAATACTATTTCAGAATGTGCCTGCTCATACAGGTGTATGATTGGCAACTCAAATTCCATAGCATTGGTGTAGATTAATGGTTCTCAAATGTCACTGAGCATTAGAATCACCTGGAGGGCTTATTAAAACATGGATTGCTGGGCCTCATCCCCAGCAGTTCTGATTCAGTAGCTCTGGGGGTTGGGGGGAGTTTGAGAATTGCATTTCTAAAGGTTCCCAATTGCTGGCTGTTGCTGCTGGTCTGGGGTTGCTGCCGGTCTGGGGACCACACTTAGACAACCACTGCCCTAGGGACTGTTGCTTTTTCCCAGGGTAGCTGGCAACTGATAAATTTCCAGACAAACTATAGTTTCCTTCAATTTACAGAGTAGTTGTATTCCTGGAAAATTGTGCCAAAACTGTGCAAAAAATACTTTGCTTACTTATATAATGGACTTACAGTTTCTAGACTTAGACCATTAATGACAGATTTTGTACCTATGTGAATGCCCAGCAAAGAGTCCTGAGTAATGCCTGACTGTTTCTTACTATCTGGAGTGGCCTGCTTGTTGTATCCCTGGCTCTCGCTCATGTAATGTCGCTAATGCCTCTTGATCATTGAGACAATCAAAAAAAGTCCTCCAAACATTCCAAAACATTCTTTACAGGCAGTGCTGCCTCTTTTGAGAACCACTGATCGGTAGGATTTGTAGCTGACAAAAATTTTTCATTTGTGATTTCAGGGTGAAGCTCTAGGCTTTGTGCCTTTGAGCACACAAATGGCACCACTTGAAAGTCAGTCTTTAATGGAATTTTTTCCATGTCACAGCATAATGAGGGATCAACAAATGAAAAATATAAGGAAAATGGGATTTATTTTAATAGCTAATTTTTACTCGCAAACATATTTGTACATACTTATTTTTATACGAAGGCTTTATGTTTAGTCTATGGATTTTGTTTTCAAAAGTTAGGCATCATCTCTTAGAAATGATTCTTACTTTGAAAACATATTTATGAGAAAATAGGACATCATTTTAATTGCCAACATTTGTATCTTAGGACCCATAACCCTCCACAGCGAAATGTGGGTGATCTCCCTTTTTCTTCTTAGCGCCAGGTCTCCAGTTGAGTTCCACTTCTGCTCCTTGCTTGGTCCCTCAGAGCACTGCTCATTTCAGGATGACACTAAAGAAGTGAAGTGTGCAGCCAGTCCCATGTTCCTTTAATGGAAATGTGCTCACTTCATTCTTACCGCATTTGACTCCTCTTAGAGTAACATTTTCAATGTGAAATTGGATTGTGTTTTTATTGCATAGCAATGAATTTATTTTAGAAAATGTGGATTGTGTTTTTAAACTAAAAAACTAAAACAGCAGCAACCACAAAAACCATCACCTATCTTGTACCATGATTTTGTCTGATTGGATCAATACATTTGTTCTGAAACTCAGCACAGAGTCTGGCATATAATTGGCATTTAATAAATACTTGAACGAATGTGTCTCCAGATTATAATAGGCATTAACTTCTCCAGCTCTGGTGGAGTATGAAGTAAACTGATGTTGGTATTTTGAGTTTCTCATTTCACAGGTAGATATCACATTTGTTTGGTTTAACTATTGGAAACTCACTGATGCATATTTTAACTGTTCCAGGGTGGATTCATGCTGTGCTCACATCTCAGGACTGTATGGCTTTTGGGGGGAACTTTCTGCATAACCTTAACATTGGCATGCAGCTCAGGTTTGTCATCAGTATCTAAAGGATCTTTTGTTTTTTCTATTATTTTTAAAGTTTCAAACAAATAAATTCAGCAATATATTTTAATTGCAATCTCATGGAGGTAGGACCTGAGGAATTACTAGGAATAGGACCTTTAAACCAAATGTATTATCATAAGATTTTGTTAGGAAGACTCCCTGATGCATTTCAAGTCTAAAAACAAAAAGAGTCATTTATTTAGTTTGACACTAAATATATCCCTGAATTTCAAAATTTTATAAAAATGTGTGGGCTCTATCCTTTGGCTGTTTTTACAGTTAGGGAAATGAACCAAATCCAGTCAGACATGGTGCTGGCGGAAAGTAATCCGAAGTTAGGATTGCTGCTTTAGTTTTGCTGTGGGTAAAGGATTAACAGCTATTTTCCCTTATGTCTGAGATTGACCTTTGGGTAACTCTGTTCCCTGGTAGCCTAAAGAGAGTAGAATGTTACCAGGCTCCACTGTTTAAGGTAAAATGACTTCTGACTGATTAACTGCATCAGGACTGGGAGAACTAGAGATACCTAGTCAGAATCCATATCTTTGGGCTTTCCTGAATGTGGTGACTCTTGTAACTTGGCATGCCCAAGGGGAACCCTGGAAGCTATGTGTCTGTAGAGGTATTTCGAGAAATAGTGGCATGAAGCTCGAAGCCAGGGCACCTCCCACGCCGTCAAATGTGAATCTTGTTTCTTTACCTGGAGTGTCCCTGGGGGAAAGAGGACTACTGGTTGTAGGGACTGCTGCCAGGACTCCCACAGAAGAATAACACTGTGGCAAGCTGTGGATCCTGTCTTCTCACCTCGACCAGCGCCAAGTGTGTCCTTGAGCTTGAATGCTTAGTAGAGCCTAAAGAAAACTCCCGGAGTGGGTGTTGTGGTGCTAACACAGGGAGCTGTTTTCTACACATACTGTTTTATTTGTTATGGTGGAACCCTTATAAAATTCCTTCTGCTAAGACCTGGATGCATATCCCAAGGTTCTGATCTTTGGGGAAGACCAGTGTAAATCTTCAGTATGCTGTCGGATTTGTTAAGGTCAGACCTGGATAAGATCACAGTTCATTCTTATTCAAATGTGTGCTCGTTTTATTTTCCTTAAGTTGGTTGCCTCCATTTAACTTGGAAATGCTAATATTAATACTAAATTTCTTCAAATTTTCTCTAGGTGTTATGAGATGGAAAAAAGGCTAAAAACACCAGATCTTTTCAAATTCCCTTTCTTTGAAGCCATATGTTGGTTTGTAGCCAAAAATTTGCTGGAAACCTTGAAAGGTAATTAATAATCTGTACATTATGATGCATGATGTTTGTAAATTCGTGAAAAGCCACTGATAGAGGGGCCCCTTATTATGGTGTAGCTATTGCTCCTGTTTTGTTTTTTAAAATATGCATGATTTCCCGTCAGGAGCCTTTTTAGCATGTCAGAGTCTCTAGTCCGTAGCCTTAAAAATCAGATCTGCGAAGAGCTGCATCAGAACAGCACAGGTAAAACTGAAAAACGTTCACCTCACCCTGGACTCCAGCAGCCACACACACTGTCACACGTGCACATGTGCCGCCTTTGCAAACGTGCAGTTCAAGCTACAGGACTGGTACTGTCATGTGTGTTCCCACACATTTGCTTTAAAAAATCGAGGGAAGGGGCGCCTGGGTGGCTCAGTCGTTAAGCGTCTGCCTTCGGCTCAGGTCATGATCCCAGGGTCCTGGGATCGAGCCCCGCATCGGGCTCCTGGCTCCGCGGGAAGCCTGCTTCTCCCTCTCCCACTCCCCCTGCTTGTGTTCCCTCTCTCGCTGTGTCTCTCTCTGTCAAATAAATAAATAAAATCTTTAAAAAAAAAAAATCAAGGGAATTTTTCATGTCCTGAGAGAACCAGGGAGTGCCTGTGCCATTACCATTATGACTACAATGCTGGCTGGTCCAAGGCACCTTTTAGCACAAACCAGCTGAAGGTCAGGCTACGAGTCTGTTGAAGAAAATGGTTTTGGGAGGGGACATTTATTTATACTTAGCTACCTTTTTTATGTAGAATTTCAGAATTTTGGTGTTTTAACTTTGGTTTAATAATCTTTGAGCAGTCAAGTTGGAGACTGATTGTCACGTCTACTTCTATTTGTTCTTTTGCTTTTGCCCATGAGAATACAGTTTGTCTGGTTTTTGTGTTGTCTGACTTTTCTAATCAGTTTGCACATAGTGCTACTATTATAATGAACTCTCAGAAGAACAGACAGAAACAGATTAAACAGTAAAGTCTGTTCTAAACATATGGGTTTTTTTTTTCCCCATTTAAAAGTTGCACAAGAAGAAAAGGTAAAATGAAAAGAAACAATAACTTGCTTCCCAGGGTAGCATGCACAGAATTAAATGATAAAATCACTTAAGATTTTCTCTGCAAACAAAACCAAAAAACCACCTCACTCTCTTTGGAAGGAACAGCAGGGCCCCGTCCCACACCTTGCAGCAGTAGAGAGATCAGTGTCCTGAGGTGCTGCGGGTGTATATATATGATGGAAGGAGGAGATGAAGAGGGTTGGCTGCTTTCTCCACAAGACCAGCCTCTCTCCAGAAATGCATCCGTATCCTGAGTCTCTGACTTAATCAGTGTTTTCAGGTATTGGTGAGACTGAGGCAGCTCGTCTTCAGTGAGTGTGTCTTGGTGTCTTGGCTGCAAGAATCTCACAGGGGACCACACACAGAGTTGCCGTATGTAGTTTCCAGTAGAGTACTGGGCAGTAAAGTTTTCAGTCTCCTATCCAAGTAGAAGCCTAGAAAAATAGGAACACTTACAAATACTTACAAATAATTTGTAAATGTCCTTGTGTTTTGGAAGTAAAACCCAATTACTGAACCCTCCAGATAAGAGATTGGCATTTCAGTACACAGAAAGTTCAGAGTCTTTTTCCATCTTTTCTGTCCTCAGTAACATACACCCACCCCTCAAGTGATGCTTTTTCCTAATGTCCAAGCGGGGGTTCATCAGTCAACTTTTTAGAACAAAATTAAGAATTTATCTGAAAGGTAAAATCTTGCTGTTCCTCTTGCAGCCACAAACAGCAAATTGCTTAGTCTTAGAATAATGATTTAGCCTTTGTTTTAGGCCATTGAGAGTTCAGAAATGTTGAGGTCTGATTGAATAGATGACCCTATACATTAACGACTTAAAAGAGATTACTGTAAAAGGATATTGGTAGATCAGGTTTTAGCATATTTTTATTTCATCAGCTGGATCAGTACAGGATAGAATACCTGGCAGTACTAGTGAGTCAATCCAGTCCCACTAAGGCTGGGGCAAAATGACCATTGTACCAATTGCCATCATCCTAGGCAATCATCCTGGAAGCAGGGATGGTGGTCTTGTTATGCCACATTATGTTCTTTCATCCCTGATCTTTTAAGTTACCACTGTGGCCTGTTATTTACCAGCTGTCAAACTGTTACAAGGCTTATATGATGGGTTAAATGAGGAGAGATTGTATGAAACTTAACTGTGTTTAGTGTCAGTAATAATAAAACAGTGAACTAATTTTGGACTTACGTAAGTAAATTAGCCGTTGGACAGAAGTGAAACCTTTTGCTTTTGCTTCAACTTACCTGAATTTTAGACCATATCTAATATATTTTGTGTGAGTTTCAGATAATTTTAAAGACCTAGAAAAGATGTGTGTGTGTGTGTTTACCTTCACATTCGTGAACCATGTCATGCCCATAGCTGACTGTATAGACCGCACACTGCATACATACATACACACGGTTCTAACAGTTTAAATATTAATTATAAGGCTCACCTGGGTCGCCTGTACCACTGGCTCAGCTTTGCCAGTACCTTTGAAATATCCAGTCATTTTTTCCCATTGCACCTTCCTCCCTACCTTCTAAAGAGAACCCCTATCCTGACTTTTGTGGTAATCCTTTTCTTCAGTTTTATCACCTGTGTCACAAATGATACAGTAGTTTAATGGCTTCCATTTTTAGAGTTCATGTGAATAGATCCATGCTGACATTATTCTGTGACTTGTCTCTTACTCAGCACCGTTTGTGAGCGTCCTTTTACTTGGAGCATTTGGTACGACCACATTTAATGTCATTCCGTTTCTTTTTCTTTCTTGCTTTTTATTTCACCTTTTTCCCTCTCTGGGAATTCAGAAGTTACACAGTTTGATAGTTGGTGGTTGCTCAGCATCTAAAGCTGACCCTGTTACCTTCGGAGCACTTTAACTCCTTTCCCCACCCCACTTCCATCCCCACAGAACTGAGAGAAGATGGTTTCCAGCCTCAGACTTACCTAGTACAGGGAGTGAAAGCACTGCATGCTGCTTTAAAGTTGTGGATGAAGAAAGAAGTAAGTCGCTTTCTTTGGAGAAATAATTGTTATTGTTTCTATGGCAAGATCGAAAACAAGAGGCCTTATGCTACTTTGGCACCACGTGAGTGGTGGCAGTCGAGGGAATGGAAATCACGCTTTTGGTACAACCTCCATTTTATTGTATAGTGTATACAAATGTGCTGGTTTATGTTTATATTTATGAGAATAAAGTACCTAAGTATTTCTTTAATCTGGAAAAGAAAGTAATTCAAATGTACTTAGGATATTGACTAAGAAATGAACATGTAGTTATAGGATAATAATAAATAACTTTGAGCTCGCATCTGCTCTCGTTACCCCATTTTACATATAGAGAAGCTGAGGTTCAAAGAATTTTATGTAACTTGCCCAAGATTTTGTGGGTGGACCTTGGACTAAAGCTCGGTCTCTGTGACGGCAAAGCCCATATTCCTTTCCATCTGCTAGACTTTCATAAGAATGAAGGAAAAGGGAGGTCAAGGTTCAAGCAGGAGCTTTCATTTTTCACTAAAATGTGATATTTGCATTTGAATCCTTCTACCTCCAAGAGGTCATCCCAGGTCCCCATTTGGAATCAGCATGTCTGTGTCCTTCCCTTCTGCTTATGTAGCACATTTCTTGTGCCAGTGGACTTAAAAGTAATGTCTGTAAAGTAATATATTCCTGTCCCCTTCACTAGGTTTATGAGCTCTTGAAAACCAGGGACTTGCTCCTCTTTATTTCCCTCCTGGAACTTCACATGCCACTCTTTAACAAGTGATAGATACGTGAGCTGATGAAAATATATTTCCATACTAATTTTTTGAATGTCCACTTGAAATAAAAATCCTACTCTTAGGAGATACGGGAGACAGTTATTAATAGGTTACTCTCCCAATAACTTTCTACTCCTTTCACTTTATTATCATTGCTACTGTGTACCCACTAGAGCAAGGCACTGTGGAAGCAACCTGGAAAGTAAATCAGGTCTTTTGAGTGTCAGGTCATCATGTAGATTACAGAACTATATAACAAGGTAATAACAAAATAAAGTATATGTTGCAAAAACTGTATAATTTGTTACCTTCCAAAGGCTTTAGATAAGTTGTTCTCAAACTTGTGTGTTTGTCAGAATCTTTTAAAAAATAAACTCCCTGGATCCTCCCTGAGAGATACTGATTTAATAGATTGGTGGTAGGATCTGAACCTCTGTTTTTTAACAAACTTTGTAGGAGATTTTTATGCGCGGTAAAATACATCGGTAATAAATACTGTTTAATTCATGACATTTGAAAGCGTGATGTTTGCATTTAACTCTCTGTTCACCTTATGCCACCAGGAGAGGGCAGCTCAGCATAGTGCTCGAGAGCATGGACTCTGGAGTCAGATGTTTGGATTCATATCTCAGCTGTGCTGTTAATAAACTAGCAAACCTCTGTGCTTTCGTTCCCTCAATTGTAAAATGAGAATAATAGTAGTATCTCTGTCATAGTGTTGTTGAAAGGATTAATGAGTTAATACTCGTAAAGTGCTTAACAGTATAGAATCTTGACTGGCACATAGTTAGCACTTACTGTTACTGTTGTTACTAGTCTGTTTTAACAAATTATGCTAAAACCAAGGAGAAGATGTAAAGCAAAAGTAAAGACTAGCATATTGAATGCGTCTAAAAAATTAAAATGTTCTTAGATACAAAGGTTAATATTTAGAAATAGACATAAGAAGTAATGACAGTAGTTTGCATTTGGATAGATATGGTAACTCAGCGATTCCTCTGTCCTATTGATGGGATCTTTTTCCTAGTAAAAGAAAAAACGTTTACAAAAATTTATTCAAAATCAGACCTCCCATAGGAAATAGGATCATTTTTTTAGTGCCTGTGTTCCCAATACATTAATTCATAATGTATTATGAATTAAATGCTGGACTTAATTAGTTACTTTACTAATTATAGTAGTAGTTAGAATCACAGTAGGCTTTGAGGGATAGAGTACAGGGTCACTTCTCAGTATAAAGCAAAATTCACTGTGAGACAGTCCATCTTTAACTCAAGCGAAGAGGATTTTGTAAGTTAATAAGGATCTCCTTAAAGACTATTGTACCAACTACATGAACTCTGAGACCTGGCTTACTAGTATTTTGCTATGTCTATAAAATCTAGAGAATCCAAAATTTGTTTAGTAAATAGTTTTTGTCTATTGTAGTGTAAATAACTTTGGTTGTCTTATCTTTGTTAATCCAAATACAGCTTGTATCTGAACATGCCTTTGAGATCCCAGACAATGTCAGACCTGGACATCTTATTAAAGAACTTTCAAAAGTAATTCGAGCAATAGAGGTAAGAGTAGAAACTGTCATCTAAATGCTTGGTTACTGTCTGCTTTGAGAAGCAAATGGATCTGCCATCACATTACAAACTTCAAAAGCCCTTATACTCTTAGATGAAATAGAATGAGCTGCATCTTGGAAGGACTCTCAGGTTTTCAGGCTTCCAAAGTCCTACAAAGAAATTTAGAGTATTGTATCCTAATGAGGTAAGAAGGAAGCAGTTACCAGTTACTTTAGTTTCTTCAGCATACTCCAAGAATAAGAAATACAGCATACACAAAATTTCAGATCCCATTCATTTCTGCTCTACCGAGATGAATACGTGGTAAGTAATTAGAGGAAGAGAGAAAATGTAAGGTGGGGTGAGTAGAGCCAAGTGAAGCTGGTTTGGAAACTGGGATGCTATTAGTGGTGTGAGGCAAGGAGACCCCCTTGACTGAAGTATTAGAACAACTTGGGTATGTAAATGCCCCTTGATAAAAGTCCATAAAATCTGAGATTACGTGTTTTAACTTATTAATTAGGAACTATTCTGGGTATTAAAGGAGATTTTAATTAAAGTAACTCTTCAGGAAGCTGGTTCTGTTAGTGTCTAGCTTGAACTGAAAGGAAATTAAGTGGAGGAATGAAGGCTACCTGGTAATTTAACAGCTTAGATTAGGGCTGTGTTTGGGGAATGGAAGAGGTATACATCTAAGAAATAATGAAGTGCTGCATTTAATATCCTTGGATAGAATATTTCATATAATTCTCAGGGTGTTCAGATATGGCAGAAAAATATTTTCTATTTTTAAAGAGTGGTAGTAATTGCATATAAATTGATTTTTTAATCAAAAGTCACATATATAATCTTAAATACATATATGTAGATGTATAAATATATAAATCTCATATATGATATCCAACACTAAGAATAAACTCCATAAGAAAGGTGTGGGTCTATATGAAAAAAACTATAAATCTTTACTAAGAGAAGTGAAATGATAGTTGAATAAATGTCATTTCTAAAATACGTCAGTACTAAGTTAACATTACAGATTTAAAATGCTGAGTTATACCTGCAAGAATAATTGGGCAAAAGTAGCCAACAACGTGTTTCTTTTTCTTAAAAATTGGAGGGTTGAGAGTACAGAAGGCAACAAAATGGCTGTAGAAAAATGTGCAAAGAAAATAAACAGGTATTTCACTAAAGAAGAAATAGAAATGCCAATCCAATAAAAATATGAAAAATGTTCTCAGTACGTGAAAAAGTATTCAGCCACATTATGCCAAATAATTTGTGATTTCATATAATCATTTGTCTAATGGGCAGAGATAAAATTCTATATTCTTGTCCTGCTGGTTAGAAAGTATAAATTAGTTTGTGCTTTCTAAATGGCTTATCCCTTAATTGAGCATTTTCCCTTTAATAAAATAAGAGGATTCTAATTAAACTTGGTAGATTAACCATACCTGAACTAAAATGATAGTAAAAGAATGAAAAAGATATTCCTTGGGGCACCTGGGTGGCTCAGTTGTTAAGCGTCTGCCTTCGGCTCAGGTCATGGTCCCAGGGTCCTGGGATTGAGCCCCACATCAGGCTCCCTGCTCAGTGGGGTGTCTGCTTCCCTCTCTCCCTCTGCCCGCCACCCCCCTGCTTGTGCTTGCTCACTCCCTCTGTATCAAATAAATAAATAAAATCTTAAAAAAAAAGAATAAAAAAGATATTCCTGAAGACAAAGAGAATAATAGAGGTGAACTCCAGCACAGATTTGGAAGCTGGAAAGCAAATATACAAGTGATCACTGGTTTAGCTGGCTAGAGAGAGCCAAAATTGTGTGGGCAGAGGGAAAAGTCCAGAGGCAAGTCTTACTTGTACAGGAGAACCTACAAAAAGCCAGGAATTAGGGATACTAGGACTCTCTGAATATGAGTGGAGGTGGGATTGAGAACAGGATTGATTATAGGTCCGTTTAAGAAATGAATTGATCTTCAAATCCCTATCTTAACACATGCTGAAAACTCTAGAGGTTTAATTGTTTGAGAGATTGAACTTGAGACTGGGCTTTGGGACACTGAACCCAGCTGAGGGACATGGGTACCATACTGAAAACAAGAGGATTAAGTGACAGTCTACATAGTGAATGGTTCTTTTTCCACTTGACTCTCCAAACACTAGCACCCTGGCCTATACCTCCCAGGCCAAGAAGATCCACTGATAGTGATTTGAAACCTTCTGATGGAACAACCCAGGCAGCTTCCTACAATGAAACCCACCAGTTGACAAAGCCCTACTCACACAGGGCTCCCAGTTAGCTTTTTTCTTTTTGCATGCAGTGAAATGCACAGATCATAAAAGTACAGTTTGAGTTTTGATGAAAACTCAGTAGACACTTGAGTAATGAAAAGTGCCATTGAGACCTATAAATCATTTTTGTCACCCCAGAAAGTCTTTTCTCCCCCTTGTAGTCAGTCTGACTACCATAAGCTACCATCATTCAAACCTGTGTGGCTCTCATCGCAGATTAGTTTGGCTGTTTTTTAATTTCAAATAAAGGCAGTCATACAGTATATCCTATTTTTGTGTCTGGCTTCTTTCAGCATAATGCTTTTGAGATTCATCCATGTTGTTGCATCTGCCAGTAGTACTTTTTTTGTTGCTGAGTGGTATTCCATTGAATGAATAAACCGTGATTTGTTTTCCCTTCTTCTGTTGATGGATATTTGGGTCATACACAGATGGGGCCAGTATGGATAAAACTTATAAACAACCTTGTATGTCTTTTTGTGGCAAATACATGTTTTCATGTTTCGGGGGTAAGTACCTGGGAGTAGAGTTACCAAGTCATAAGTGAATTTCCACTTTATAAGAATGTGCCAAACAGTTTTCCAAAATGGTTGTGCCACTGTCACCACCAGTGTGTAAGAGTTGTCATTCTATATTCTTGCTAGTGTTTGGTGTTTTCCGTCTTTTAATTTTTGCTTTTCTAGAGAGTTTGAAATAGTCTTTCATTGTGGTGTTAATTTGCATTTTCCTAAAGACTAATGATGTTGAGCACCTTTTCTTGTGCATTGGATATTTGTGTATCTTTTCTTTTTTTTTATTATGTTAATCACCATACATTACATCGTTAGTTTTTGATATCTTTTCTTATGGGGTACCTCTTTGAAGTTTTTGACCATTTAAGAAATTATGTTGTTTTTATTGATTTGTAGGAGTTCATTATATATTTTAGACACAAGTTCTTTGTCATTTGGCGTGCATGCGTTCATGGATGATGAATACAGTGAATATTTACCCACAGCCTGTGGCTTATCTTTTCATTATCTTAAAGATTTTATTTATTTGTTAGAGAGAGCGTGGGCGAGAGAGAGAGTGAGCAAGGGTACAAGCAGGGGGAGCTGCAGGCAGAGGGAGAAGCAGGCTCCCTGCTGAGCAAGGAGCCTGATGCAGGACTCGATCCCAGGGCACTGGGATCATGACCTGAGCCGAAGGCAGACGCTTAACCGACTGAGCCACCCAGGCGTCCCTTTTTTCATTATCTTAATGGTGTCTTTTTCCGAGCAGAAATTTTTAATTTTTTTTAAAGATTGTATTTATTTATTTGAGAAAGAGAGAATGAGAGATAGCACGAGAGGGAAGAGGGTCAGAGGGAGAAACAGACTCCCTGCCGAGCAGGGAGCCCGATGTGGGACTCGATCCCGGAACTCCAGGATCATGACCTGAGCCAAAGGCAGTCGCTTAACTGACTGAGCCACCCAGGCGCCCAGAAATTTTTACTTTTGAAGATCAATTTATAAATGCGTTTTCTTATTTATAGTTAGTATTTTTTAGTGTCCTCTCTAAGAAATCTTTGCCCACCCCAAGGGTTGAAGATACTTTTTTTTTTTCCCTGGAAGCCTTTACAATTGGGTAAATAGCTAATTGTGAATTTTTGTGTGTAGCATAAGGTAAATTTAAGGCATTATTTTCCTCCCGTATGTTTATCTAGTTCTCTTACCACCATTTCTTGAAATCAATTAGCTTTTATTGCTTTCTCTTTTAATATGCATGGAGTGCCAAGAAGAGTTTTGAAGACAACGACCAAAAATAAAGGAGAAAAAGAAGAAAGTATTTGAAGGAAATAAATAAGTTCTTTAGCCCAAAACCCAAATATTAATAATTTATATCCTTGAGAGAAAAGAGTACATAAATATTGCTTCCATGAAAAAAGAACAGGTGGCTATAACAAAGGAACATTCAAAGAAGAAAGAAAAGGGGTTCTTGGAAATTAGAAATATAATAGAAACAAAACATAGGGAAGCCTGGGTGGTTCAGTCGGTTAAGCATCTGCCTTCGGCTCAGGTCATGATCCGGGGGTCCTGGGATCGAGTCCGCATCAGGCCCCTTGTTCAGCGGGGAGCCTGCTTCTCCCTCTACCTCTGCTCCTATTCCCCCCAGCTTGTGCTCTCTCTCTCTGACAAATAAATAAATAAAATCCTAATTAAAAAAAAAACCAAAAAACTCCTTTCTGTCTTAAAATTTAGTAAAATCATTGGAAGATAAAGTTGGGAAAATCTGTCATAAAGTTAAAAAAAAAAAGACTAAAATAGGACAGAAAAATTAGGTCATTTTACATAGTCACCATCAAAATAATAGTAAGTCCAGATAGAACATAGAAAACAAGGAGAAGATAATTAGAGGAATAGTCAAAGATGATGTTTTAGAATTCAGGGAGGGGCGCCTGGGTGGCTCAGTTGGTTAAGCATCTGCCTTCAGCTCAGGTTGTGATCCTGGAGTGCCGGGATCAAGCCCCGAGTTGGGCTCCCTGCTCACTGGGGAGCCTGCTTCTCCCTCTCCCTCTGCTGCTTCCCCTGTCTGTACTCTCTTCCTCTCTGTGTCAAATAAATAAAATCTTAAAAAAAAAAAAAAAAAGAATTCAGGGACACATCTTCCCTACAGAAAGCCCAAGTACAGTGAGTGAGAAAAGACCTATGCCAGGGCACATAGTGGTTACATTTTAGAATGCATGTAACAGAGTATATATCCTGGGATCAGGGATCAAGCTGCACAGCACATTGGGCTCCTTGCTCAGCAGGGAGCCTGCTTCTCCCTCTGCCTACCGCCCCCCACCCCCACCCCCCGCTTGTGCTCTCTTGCTTTCTCTCAAATAAATAAATGAAATCTTAAAAAAAAGATGTCAAAGAGGCAAGATCTCAAAAAATTTACCTCCCATGGACCCCTTCTCAGGAAACTCTTAGAGGGGGTGCTGTTCCAAAAGAGAGGAAATAAGCCAAAAAAGGAGCTCTGGAATTTTTCCAACAAATATGGAATACCCAGATGGGCAGAGAGCCGGGAAGAAAACAGAGGCTCTGCCTTCATGGAGCTGAGTAGGAAGAGGCTAGCCATAAATATTTTAATGTATCAGGAATTGACAAATGCTATGAAGAAAAATATAGAAGGGGGAAAAGATAGGGAGTGACAGCCAGAGATGGTTGGTGGTGGGGGTTGCAGTTTTAAGTGGTGGAATGCAAGCAGGGCAGGAGGGATTTTTGATGACCTGTGTAGGCGGGGAGAGCAGCCAGTCTGGGTTGGATCAGGAGGATGAAGGGCTCCATATTTGTTGTTTATCTGAAATTCAAATTTAGTTGGGCATCTTGTACTTTAGCTGGCATTCCTGTCCAGGAGGGATGTCTCCGAAGAAAAATACAAAATTTATAGATTACCTAATGTGTTTGAATGTTTGCGTTCTTCCAGTGAAGAATTTTGGGATCAACTAGTGATAAATACATAGAAAACAAAGCAGCTATAGAGTGAGACAATTATAAACTCAAGGGAAAGTCAAAGATGTAAAAAAAAAAAAAAGAAATGTAATAATATATTATGTGGCACTGGGTTGCAGATACTTTTTACCAAGTCCAGTTTACTGAAGGAGCAGGAAGTATGTGTACATTTAGGAGAAGTGTGCAAGGCTGAGATGAGACTTCATCTTGATTAGTAGGAATTCAGTAACATCTCCGGTTAAAAGGGGCACCTGTCTGGCTCAGTCAGTAGAGCGTGTGACTCCTGACCTCAGGGTTGTGGTTTTGAGCCCCACGATGGGTATAGAGATTACTTAAAAATAAAATCTTAAAAAAAATAATAAAGCTGAAAAACTAAGAAATAACAGTTTAAACATATTAGAAATTTGGAGGCAAATAACTGAACAAGTAACACTACCACCAACAAAAAACAGCTGTAAGAGTTGCAGGTGCTGGGTATATACCCAAAAGGGTTGAAAGCAGGACTTTCATACGTGTTCCTAGGGGGGCAGCATTTACAGCAGCCCAAAGGTGGAAGCAGCCTAATTGTCCATGATGGAGGAATGAGTGGACAAAAGGTGGCATATACATAATATACACACCATGGAATATTATTCAGCCTGCAAAAAGAAGGAAATTCTGACCCATGCTACAGCATGGATGGACCTTTACGATATTACATTAAGTGAGTGGCACCTGGGTGGCTCAGTTGTTAAGTGTCTGCCTTCGGCTCAGGTCATGATCCCAGGGTCCTGGGATCGAGCCCTGCATTGGGTTCCCTGCTCTGCGGGGAGTCTGCTTGTGTTCTTGCTCTCGCGCTCTCTCTCTCTCTGTCAAATAAACACATAAAATCTTTAAAAAAAAAAAAGATACTACATTAAGTGCAATAAGCCAGTCACAAAGGTACAGCTATTGTGTGATTCCACTTATATGAAGTTCCTAGAAGTGTCAAATTCATAGAGAAAGTAAAAGGTTGCCAGAGGCTGGTGGTAAGGAGGAATGGGAGTTACTGTGTAAGGGGCACAGAGTAAGTTCGGGAAGATTAAAAAGTTCTGGAGGTGGATGGTGATGTGTGGTTGCATAACAGTGTGAAATGTCCTTAAGGCTACTGAACTGTCCACTTAAAAATGGTAAAATGGTAAGTTATGTATATATTACCTCGTATGTGCTACAAAATTATGTATATGTCACTACAATAAAAGGAGACTTGCAAGTGGTTGCCTCTGGAGAATGGGAATCAGGGATGGGGAAGAGTATACCATTGTTTTTCATGATATATTTATAGAGTTAATTTTTAAAACTACAGAGATTGGTGACCTTGGTTTAAAAAGCAATTACTGATTTATGCAAGTATATATATATGAAAGAGTGTTCATCATAGGAAAGAACTGGAAGCAGCCTATAATAACTACCGGTATTAGGTCAATAAATTATATGGTGGAATACTACCTAGCTTTTAAAATGATATTTAAAATCAAAGAAGTATGTTCATAGTATATTATGTGGGGGAGAGAAGGGAATAAAGATCTCAGCAAAGCTGATGTTGAATCTTATGAGTGTTACGATTTGGTCTTTGCTATTTATATGAATGGTTTTTGTTTTTTAAAATATTTTTATGGCTGATTATTGAGTCAGGTATATATGTGACCTTGTCATAAAAACACTCTGAATTTAATTCTTAAAGGAGGAAAATGGCAAACCAGTTAAATCTCAGGGAATTCCTACTGTGTGTCCAGTTTCACGATCCTCAAATGAAGCAACTTCCCCATACCATTCCCGACGAAAGATGAGGAAACTTCGAGATCATAATGTCCGAACTCCTTCTAACCTAGACATCCTAGAGCTCCATACAAGGGAGGTCCTCAGAAGGTTAGAGATGTGTCCATGGGAAGAGGCAAGTATTATGTTTCATGGTTATAGAAAGAAATTTGGTTGTGCCTGAAAGTTCTTTAAAGGGATAATAAAAAGAATAGTCTGGCCATGTTTGTTTTCTAATCTTTGCTTAGCATTGTAGGGGCCAACAGTACTGATGTCCATGACTGGGAATATGCTTCAGCTTTCTAGTAGGCTGAGTAGATCTCATATTCTTTGCGGACATGTTTACTGAGTGTTTACCAAATAACCTATGCTCTTCTAGGCTCTGGGGAAGTTACCAGAGTGAAACTTAAGTCTCTGCCATTGTGTAGCTTCCATTCCAGCTCAAGTTGGAAGAATAGGAGATGAGACATATACTAAAATAATATAATCCAGATAATAAGTACTCTGAAGGAAGCCGAAACAGTAAAGGGAGAGAGAGTAAAGGGGCTGGGCTGTAGCTGGCTATGTTAGCTGGGGCCGTCAGAGAGCCTCTCAGGTGGTGGCATTTGAGCTGATGAATATTGGAAGAAGTCAAGTGGATACAAAGCTTTGCGGAAACAGAGGGAAGAGCAAGTGCAGAAAGCCTATTCCTCCCCCAGCAGTACAGCACAGGCAACTATTGGAATGGGAGACTATTAGAATAAACCCATTTAAATTTGGGAAATGCTGGCTTAATGGACAAAGGGGAGAGGGGCGGGGCCTTTGTAAAACATGGTAGTGAGTTTGTGATGAGACATATCCATCATTGCACATCTTAAGTAAAGGACAGGAATAATTTAAAATGAGTAAGATAGAAGTATTTCTGAATTAAAATATTTGAAGAAATTCTATAGAAATTATAACTTAAAGATTTTGCATTTAAATAATTGTATTGATATTGTTTTAAACTTTGTTGTTCTGAACCTCTCTAACCCTTAGCCCTCTGGGAGAAGACTTAGCTTATTATGAAAGGTTCTATTTGTTATTAAAGAAAGAAATTTCCACAAAAAGGAAATACTCTTTTTTAAAAACCAGCTGCTGTTGTGCGTTTATGTCACACGGTGGCCTTTGTCCCCAGTGGTAGCAGGGTGGTGATCCAGGAGTTGCTGATAGTGCCTCGTGGGAAGGAGGGATTATTAGTTCAAGGGTAGGAGGACCGGAAAGGAGCCAGCAGCCGGTGGTGTAGCAGGAAGGAGCGAGGGAAAGAGAATTCAAACACATTAAGGCGCTGCTTCTCTAGCTCTTCAGCTTTCTGCAAGAGTGAAATGTCTTTGAATTTACTTGATGTAAATTTTACATTCTGCTTTATAAAATGTGTTTTATTGTTAGTGGCTGGACAGAAAGGGGAACCATAGTCCTGCTTTGGTTTCAGGAGCCACTGAGCGTCAGGGCGGTGCACCGTGCGCAGTTTGGGCTGCAGGGCCGTGGTGGGAGGCGGTGCCGTCCTGGGTTCCTTTAGGCAGGCAGGCACATCTGAGGGCAGATGGTAAGTTAAGTTCTGTTTTTATACTTTAAGGACATCTTGAGCTCTAAACTGAATGGAAAATTTAACAAGCATCTCCAGCCATCTTCCACGGTACCTGAATGGAGGGCAAAAGATAATGATCTACGGTTACTGCTGACAAATGGAAGGATAATTAAGTACGTAAAGTAGAGCAAAGTGTCATACAGATGAGTTTGCCGTGGATTCCCTCTGTCTGTTTAACCCCTGGTCCCCACCAGTGCACATCCGACTCCCATACAGGGAAAGTGTCTCAGTTCTCCTCTCCAACTGGAGATTAAGGGGGAGGGCATACTGTTTGGCTGCAGTGTCGCACTGTTTTGTGACTTGATTATTTTCCCCTCTGTGTGCAGGGATGAGAGACAACCCTTCGCAGATCCAAGTCTTTATACAGCAGATAGTGAAAATGAGGAGGACAAGAGAAGGACAAAAAAGGCAAAAATGAAGATGGAAGAGAGTTCAGGAATAGAAGGGGTGGAGAATGATGAGTCTCAAAAACCACGTAACAGTATGTTTTTTTTCATGGCCTTTTGAAGGTCTGCTTATTACCTACGTGATAATATGTAAAGTCATGTGCTATCTTAAGTTTGTAGTAGGACTGAAAATTGTCGGGCCCCTAATACTCTTTGGAGAAACCTGAAGTATTTCTGAGTAGTGTATCCATGAGGGAAATGTGAATGTGACTGCCAAGCAAGGTATCGTGCCCAGGGAAGGTGTTTTTAGTGACGAGGGTATGTGCTGGTCAGTGACACCCTTGTCAGGTGACAGTTTTTACAAGAGTGACATGAAAGCTTTTGCAGCTTATGGGCCTCGAAATAATAAAATAGAAGTTTAATACAGTTTCTTTATTTTTTATTTTTTTAATACAGTGTCATACATAATTTTAGCTAACATGTATATGGTTTTCAGAATTAGGAGACATATATAATTAGCTCTCTGAAGCTATTAGTAATCCATGTATTGTTCTCTTTGATGGCCTGTTGACAGGAAGACCTCTACTTGGTTACTAATTGGTTATCATTAGTGTGACAAATAGTAACGCCTCCTCCTTCTTGAGATCGTTCTTCTTTGAGTGAAGTCTTAATTTCTTAGCATTTTTCAGGGCCTCCTTATACCCTCCTTCTATTTTAAAAAGTGGTTAAATACTTTGATAACTTGACAAGAAAAATTAACATTTCATCTGTGTTGAATACCTCAGTTCCAGCTAATTCTAAGTAAATTTGGTATTGCTGTAGTTGGTGACTCTGAATGTGTCACATGCCAGGGGAAAGGCAGCTAATCAATGGAGTTATCAAACAGTTGTTAGTTAGCAGTGCCTCGTGGGAGAGAAGAGCAGTGGTAAAGCCTGCTTCTTAAGCTTGTTGAATTCACTGTCTACTTGAGTGCTTTTGAGGTTTAGGAGAGTTATCTTTTTGTTTTCTGTTGAGAGAAAAAATGCAAGAGGGAAAGTGAAAAGCATCTTGTAGGCAATTTTAGCATTGGAGGTTTTTTTCTGGAAAGAAATAGAAAATTTCCACGCAAATGAGGAATGTATCATCATGTTCAGTAAATGCCACAAACGTTTTAAGACTACAATGCAATCTGTATCTTGGTCAGTTCGGGAGAAAAGTCTTTGGGGGAAGAAAGGAATGAAGAAGATGAAAGCAGTGGAAATGGATGGAGCCAGGGCAGTCAGGACCTACGCGGAAGCTGGTCTGACTTCAGGTACCACCCTGTTCATAAGCTTCCACTGACTTTCTCTTTTTCTCTCTTCCTTTCTCTTCGCAGGGTTTTTTACAAGTGTGAAATCAGAACTCAGGAATCGATCATCAGAATATTCTGATATTTCTGATTCAGAAGACTCTGGACCCGATTGCAATGCACTGGTATGCCCAAACCCCTGTGACTTGTGCATTGTTTGATGGAAAGATGACACCTCCCTTCCTTCACCTGTGGGGGAAAATAAATGCCTGTCTCTATGACCTTTGTGGCACAAGGTCTTCCCTGTAATGGTAATCACACACACACACACACACACACACACACACACACACACACGTACCCTGTCATGTGACTGTTTACATTTGATAAACATAGCTTTTGTCTGGTTTTAGAAAGGGTGGATGGAGATACTGTTCTTATATTTCTCATATTTCTCATAGATTATATTTCATTTCACTTTAAAGAAAACCTGTACTGTATGTTTTTACTAAGGAATTCTATACTGTAATTACTAGAGATTTTAACTCTGTCATAGGAAATACAGAAATAATTCCATGATAATTAAGATTCTAACTTTGCCTAGACTGATACACTGTTTTTAGTTAGTAGAGACTTAATCAGATTTCTTATATAGATTTGCTTCCATTTAACTATTTTTATTATCTCAGAAAAATTTTACCACTGAAGAGTCTGAAAGTTCAGGTGATGAAAAGAAACAAGAAGTAACATCAAACTTCAAGGAGGACTCTACTGTGATGAGGAACTTCCTTCAGAAGGGCCAGAAGCCATCTAGAAGTGAAATTCCAATTAAAAGGTAGGCTTTCTGATGGTTAGTAGTCTTATTACATTGTGATGTAAACTACATGAAACTCTGTGTGTATATGAAAACATTTTTTAATTCTAAATGTTACTGAAGATGCCAAACGAAGAAATAAGCTCTTGTCCTTTTGCTTAACTTCTCTTTAGGGAATGTCCTACCTCGACGAGCACAGAGGAAGAAGCTATTCAGGGCATGTTGTCTATGGCAGGGTTGCACTACTCCACATGTTTACAGAGGCAGATACAAAGCACAGACTGCAGTGGCAAAAGAGACTCTCTCCAGGATTCCGGCGGCTGCCACAGCAGTAACCATGAGGCTAGACAGGTGTATCGCTGTGATAAACCAGTGGAATATGGTAAGAAACATAAATGATCGGTCTCTGAAAAGTAACATAGGACCCCTCAACTTCATAGCTCTGTAATCCTAGTTGAGGTTAGACATTATGAATAAGAATTGCACATCTGTAGTTGGAAATGATGTTAAGCATGTTGGCCAAAAAATACATAATATTGACAAACATAAGATGCAAGTTATAAGAACTCAAAATGTAAATTAATGGCTGGAGAATTATGTTCACCAGCATAATCCTACCACTGCTATTGTGAGACCCTTAGTACTTGTTTCCTTTCATAAGCTGTTCCGAGGGGAAAGAGTGTTGAGACGTCTTACATGGTCTGCTAGGCTTGAACCATCAATCCTCTTTCCTTATGTGGGAGGGAAAACAAGTTTTGATCTGTTTTCTGGTTGAGGACATTCTCCTACTTGAAAAAGAAGTATTGGGAAAGAGAAGACTCAGTGACAGTACCAGTGATGGCCATGTAGTGTTTTGTTCTCTGTGCCTTTGGGGGAAATTTTGTGCCCGAAAGTCTGAGGAGGAAGGGGGAGAAGATGGTACCACACAAAAACCAAATGCCTGTTGTAGAAATTGTGTTCATTCCCGCCTAGTTGTGTGAATTGTATGCCAGCAACCTGACATCCATTTCACTTAATTCTTGAAACCACATTTTGGTGTATGTAATCCTTTCACAGGTAGAGGCAAGAAGACTTAGTGAAGTTAATTGAACTTGCCCATACTTACATAGCTATTATTATCCAGTGGTGTTGGAATTGGAACCCAGGACTATCTGATCTCAAAATCTCGGCTTATTGTGTAAGAGGAAACTGAGGTTTAGAGAGGTTAGGTAACTTGCCTAAAGATGCATCGGTAAAGGAAAAACTCAAATTCAGGTCTGGGCTTGTCTGTCCACACCATTCTGTCTCCCTGTCATTTCTTTGGTCCTCACTTGAAAAGAAGCCTTCTATGAAAGTACTGTAGAGTTCAGGCAAGCATATGCCTTCATTCTGTATGGAAAAATATACCGGTTTTAGAGAGTATATTGCATTTGGCTTTTCCATCTACAACAGATGGCCATAGAGTTTGACTCTGGAGCTTCCAGCATCTGGCACAAAACCTGTCATATAGAGGCAGTCTTTGAGAGAATTTAAAGAATTAACATGCTGGATTGTGAGCTGGTGACTCTCTTGTTTTTTTGATAGGGAAAGCAGTGTGGTGGAAAGTGTATGAGTAAATAGAGTTAACATATTCATTTTTTAATAAAACGTCAACCTAAATGTACTTTGTTATAACATTAGGTTAATTTTGCTTGTTATCAAGTTTGTGTGGAGATAATTTAATTAAAACTTCTGTTTAGGGTACCATGTCAAGACCGAAGAACAAGACTTGAGGAGCTCTTCCTGGATGAAACAATTTGATACAACTTCCAGATTTCATCTTCAGGTATATGCAAGGCTTGAAACATCAAAAGGAAATTTAGGATTGTCATTAACTCTGTTTTTGCTTTCTATTTTTTTTACTGCAACCAGTAATTAACCATTAGATATGGAAAGCTAAAAAATAATTTACGATTAAATGCGCATTTGAACAGCTATCCGTTTTTAGGAATTCTGATGTAACAACTAATGCAAGGCTCACGGATAGACTGCGATTGGGAAAAGAATAGTTGATTCAAGGAAAGTTAAAAACTCCTGATAGCCAACACTTCTAGGTTATGTCTGGCTAGAAGGAAAGGGGGAAAACAGTACCCTGAGGATCTCTTTTTAATCTCTGACATTGTTTCTTGAACATTTTTAGACGGTAAATTTCTTTGAGAATTTGATGACAGTTATTGACTCTCTTACCAGGAAAGTGTTCATCATAAATACTGATTTTTGCATAGCATTTTCTCATGGTTTGTGCCCCACCCTTACCAACTCAGACCATCCATTAACTCCAGATTAAGAGCCCTTGCTCTAAGAGAAGACACTTGATGTCTTGGAATGCCAGCACATTAATGCTTATACCAAACAAAATGAACCTCAAATAGCTTTTTGAAAAGCCACGGCTTTACCAGTAGCACCAAACAAGAAAGGCAATATGACCTTTTGCTACAAACTTTGGAAAATGACAGCCAAAGAATCAAAAATCTCATGCTGCAGAGTAGAGTCCTCTAACTTCTCCAACCCCAATCATACACTGAGTAGTGGAATCTTAGGTGTTTGTTTAAGTGGGCTCCATGCTGGGATGTAGGCTCCAATGCAGGGCTTGAACTCAGGACCCTGAGATCAAGCCATGATCAAGAGACGGACGCTTAACCAACTGAGCCACTCAGGCGCCCCTCAAGGGTGATTTTTATTTTCTTCATGTAGCTTATCTACATTTTCTAAATACTTAAACATTTTACAATGAGAAAAAGAGCCAAGTTATTTTTTAAGGCAACGTTTTATAAGTACAAGTTCTTTTAATAGAAGAATGTGCTCCAGAATCAAAGGTCAAGGAAGGAATCCCCTAACTATTAGTAATTCATTTAATTCAGTGTATGATTTATAGTATCTCACTGGTCATTACGTTTATAACTTATTAGCATTATAGGATTCAGTATTGAAAATAAGCCATTATTGGGGTGCCTGGCTGGCTCAGTCGGTAGAGCATGCAACTCTTGATCGCAGGGGTGTAAGTTTGAGCCCCACCTTGGGTGTAGAGATTACTTAAAAATAAAATAGTTTTTTAAAAAAGTAAGGTATTATTTAAATCTAGCTGCTGTTTTTATAATTGTCTTTGAAAATAAAGAAGGAGAGGACAGATGATTAGCAAGATCACCTTAGAGAAAATCAGATTTCTTTTGCCTGTAATGCTGTTTTTAAAACTTACTTGACCATTACAGAATTAGGAATTTATTTTACATCACACACACACAAACGGCTAGTTTCATGAAACATCACATCTGCAGTATGCTCTTTTCACGTTTATATTTTCCTTTCTTTTTTATATTCTGGTCATGACCCTTTCCATTGGTTTTAAGACCTACCCGTCAGTAGCACTGTTGGTTTTTTCCTGATGGCTCACTCAGTGATCTCTTAAAGGGACCGAAGGAAGAATTGTTAGAGGAAAACCAGGCTTGGGGCTCAGCACCTAGGTGCTTTTTTTAGGAAACAATTTAAATACAGTGGAGATGAACCTTAACAGGAGTTAGATTCTAAAAAAGATAGCGTACTACATCGTGAGAGAGACGGGATCTGTGATGTGCTGAGGAATTGGTAGGCCCACATGTCCCAGCCACACGTTCCTTCCATGGCATGTCATGGCACATGCAGAATGCCATATTATAATAAATAATAGATGTTACATATTCTATATTTTATATATAAATATATGCATTTACATATATATGTATAAAGTTTATATGTATATATAATATATAAATAAAAATGTTTTCTTCTGGAGTTAAGTTATGATGTAAAACTTCCATACTTGAGTCGTTTCGTGCTGTGAGGTTTTGGAATGACATGACCATCCTGAAGGGGTAGTCGTCTGTGGCTGCTACATGTTAAGAAAACCAAAGTTCAGTAGTCGATTTCTTCTCTCCCTTGACCTGCTATTGCATAGAGAGGTTAAATACCTCACTTAAGGAACTCTAAAAATCCAGCCTTATTTCCTTCCTTTTTTAGGATTTAAGTAGAGGCCAGAAATGCATCAAAAAGGAAGGTTCATCAGAAATCAGTCAGAAGGTACAAAGTAGGAATTCTGTGGACAGCAGTGGCTCAAGCCCTCCAAATGGGAAGTATACGCAGAATTCAAGCTTGATTTCGGGGGCGTGCCAGATAAATAATGGCAGCATAAGCCCAGAAAGGCCAGTTGGTGAAACTTCCTATTCAGTGCCCCTTCACCCCACCAAGAGACCTGCATCAAATCCACCACCTATCAGCAACCAGGCAACAAAAGGTAACTTTGACATGTCTATGGGCTGAGTGTATTTTTGACCGTGTATGACAGTGACAGTGGCAGTTCAGATAGATGTGTAGTGGTCCCTGCCCTCGAGCCGTTTCCAGCCTGTTGCACTCTGGACGGCGCAGTGAGGGCGGTGTGCACAGGTTACTGTGGGAACAGAGAAGAAGGCTCCCTAGGTCGGTCCTGAGGATCGGGAGTGGCTTCCTGGAGGAGGAGGTAGATCCTGATAAGGATGGTAAAGGGTTAGCTCTGCTGGGTTGGGGAAGTGCCAGAGTAGACCACAGGGAAGGTCAAGGAGATAGTATGGCCCACGGTACCAAGGTGAGAAACAGTACGTGGGCTGTTTATGAAACTGCAGTCAGTTTTGTCGCTGAAGCACAATTTGAGGCAAGATACGGTCAGGGCTCCTGCTCAAGAGAGAGAGAGGCAGGGATCAGACTGTGGGTCGGCCTGGTAAGTCATGTGAAGGAGGTTGGCCTTTATCTCTCAAGTAATGAGATGGGAGGTTCGAAACAGTAGAATTCCAGGAGTGTGACTTTGCCCCTTCAGAACACCGAAAAGGCTTGCTCGCCGCATAGCTCTCCCTTGAAGTCTCCCGGGTCCTGTCTGTCAAGAATGATTTTCACTATTATCTACGCTATTGTTGCTGTCTTCTAGGTAAACGTCCAAAAAAAGGAATGGCAACAGCCAAACAACGTCTTGGGAAGATCCTTAAGTTGAACAGAAATGGCCATGCCCGTTTCTTTGTGTGACGAGCTGCTGTTGTGGCCACTCTTCCCTTTGGAGACAAACTGGTTTCGGAGGCGCGCGAGCCTGGCGCTCCCACCGTGCCCCCGCCCGAAGCAGTTTGCATGTACAGTAGAGAACACTGCCTGAAGAACAAAATGAACCGATGCTGCATTTTCACTGTGCCACACCCACTCAGCAATAACCGTTTCGGACCTGGTGGGGGAGAGGAAGAAGGAGGGTAGAACCTTAAAAAGAGACCTTGAACTGGAAAAGGTCTCTTGTCAGGGCTTGAATTTCATTTTGTTGTTGGTAGTGTCTTGATTTATTTTCAGTGGTAGGGTAAAGAATTATCAATAATTTATTTAACAGATTTTTTTTTTAAAGTTAACAGCTTTTAAATTCTTTCTTTTTTAAAGCTATTTATTTGGAAGATTTCTGGAGAACTATCTCACTAATTTAGATTTAAGAATGTGAAAGTTTTTAAATTATTTTTGATAGTGTGTATGTTACATGTGGGGAAGAGCCACGGTAACAGTAACTAGTCTGGACTCTTAAATTTGATATTCAGGTTAAAGTCTTAAACAGGGATTTGATGCATTAATTATTTTAAATTAAGATGTATATGAAAATCATTTTATTTTATATATTTCATGTGTTTTTTATAAGCTATTAGCTTCGCTTTTGCTAACATCCAAGGTGCATACTGTTATCCAGGTCGATTACCTTATATCCCACCTTCCCTCTGCACTCCCCATCATTTTGTGACGACGCAACAAGACTCTTCTCTTTGCAGGGAAACACTTTCATAGCCAACGTGTAAGAATTACATAAAAGATCCCACATTTCTCTTTCGTTTGACATTGCAGTTTTCTTCTAATTCTATAATAATAGGCTTCTTGCATTTTCATTTTTGCTGATGATATCTGGGTCCCAAAGAGAACAGCTTTAATATCGTTTTCCTACTTGTGGGAAAAGGGTTATAAGTTTGGTTAAATTGTCATGTTTATAGTTTTTCAAAAACATTTGTAACTACAGAGGGCCTTCTTCATACTGCTGGTGTTGGCGGGCAGGACGAGCACCTGCCCCAGAGGCTATATTTTATGACGCTTTTATTCTGTGTACCTAACTTGTTGGAAAATAATGAGATATGGTTTGACTTAGTATATTCAAATCTGCATAATCCGTAATATAATAGGACTATACTATATTAAGTTGTATAGAAGCAAGCATGTTGGAGTAGATCTTTTGGGTGTATGTGTGTTTAGTTTCTTATTTCTTAACCTTCTAAAGAATTATTTAAGATACAGACTTGGAGTAAAATGGGTGCTTCTTGCAGTTTCTTCCATCTGTCCTAACTTAACCAGTGCATATTGAGATTAAGTATCTGGTTGAGCTTTAAGGAATCATTTCTCTCCTTTATGCACAGTTCTTACTAAATGCCAGTTTTCAGTTGCTTGCAATAGCTTATATTTTCCCTTTTCCTCCCCATGGCATAAAAAGAAGTGATTTCTGGGGCTGGGGTGAAGAGATTCCCAATTCTGACAAAAGAACATTTTACAAATTTCTACAAAGAAAATAGAGGCAAATAGGATAAAATTTATTTTTATGGAGAAGTAGTAGGGCCATATTATGGATTTGTCTCTTTTTTACTCAGCAAGGTAACAGGACTTTCCCTTCTGTATTAAGTATCACTTGAAGCTCTAAGAAAAAAATCTATGCCGTCATCTTTCATGGTTGCATTCAAATGTGTATTTTCAAAGAGAAATATTTCTTATTATGTCTCCATTTCAGTATCTCATGGAATAAATACAAAATAGCTTATGGATTAACCTTTTTGGTCCAAGTGACTAGACCAAATTCTGGGACTTATCTGGGTGTCAGGAAAAGGAATTTTTATGGAAACACTAAGTGTCTGTAAAGGGCCTACTTAAACTCTGTCTACACTATGCCAAAACTGGTTAAGAGATGGATATAATCAGTCATTTGGTCATTGGATCTCAAGATGTCAAAAGTTGGGGTTTGACTGATTTTCCTACCTCCCAATATATTATTGTGATGTTTTGGTTTTCTGTAGACACCGTTTTAGTGTTAGAGTTCACATGATTTTGTTTTGGTTTAAGAAATCAGAATTATAATTCGTTCTTCCAGCTACGTCATGATCTTGGGTTCTTTTGTTTTCTTTACATTTTTCATAGCTCTAAGTATTTCTAATTACCTGACTTCTTTTCTTTAGCTATAAAAATTAAAATCAATTTATTTTTATAAATTAAAATGGTGACCAATATCTGCCCTGTGTACTTAGGCCAGTAAATCTAATTTTAAGTAGCCAGTATGTGTAAGTATTAAGTGAAGGTACTGTGGATTCATTTTTGGCGGGTTTAGCCCATGAACTGGCTAAGTTAAAAAAAACTTGCAGTAAGATAATCTAAGCACTGAGACAGAATTCATGTATCTTTTTCCAAATTGGTGAAAATCCAGCCTACTGGCCCAGTGAGTTGCCTGGTCAAACTTGTTCTAAACTTACTAGCTCTGATGCATCCCTTTATCTCATGGAAGTGGCTGGACTTTGAGGTGACTGCAGCCAGGGTCTGGATTCGGCTGTGATAGACAACCTTTCATGTTTTCCTCAGTCTTGTTTATAAACCCTTCCTACCACACAGACACTGCAGCTTAGACAAGGAGACAACAGTAGTGGCATTTAGCTAGTTAGGTGCAAATAAATAGATAAAACAGTTGGACTTAATGTATGCGATTTTAATGGCAGTAGTAGATAATGATTTTTCTGTATTGATTCAAGTAAGTGACTTCTGTTAACCTGGGATCCCTGGTCCTGTAACTCATGATGTCACATAATATGCTTTCCAGGACTGATTAAGGAAGTCAACAATACAAGACTGGCAGTTTATAGTAGTGCAGCATCCTAGAAATACACTGAATTTCATAAGCATACAGAATTAAAAATTCTGACTGACAGAAACTCAGAGAAAACAAGACCATCGTTATCACGACTTAAATGCTTAGCTTGAATACTTCTATTTTTTAATAATCCTAATTATTGCCTTTTAAATGAACTCTACTGTATTGACCTGTATGATGGCAGCAGGTATTTATCCAACATCTGTGTGCCCAGCACGACTTAGCACTGTGGGGGAATATAAAGCTGAAGTTGGGATCTCTGCTCTTGAAGGTATCTTCTCCAAGAAATAAGCAGTATTATTTTCATTTCTCAGCAAACTTTAAGCAAAAGAGGGCCCATGTATTAAGAAAAATAGCATAACTTCATTAGTTTCAACTGAAATGTACAACTGTAGAAGTGGAAGTAAATTTTTTTTTTTAGTTTTTAAAATTTAAGAAACATTTCAAAAGTTAATAGTTTAATGTTGGTAATAGAGAGGTGTGGTATATAGCATGCAAGGGAGCACGAACCTGGGTTTTTGTCCAAGTTCTGTCATTTATGTATCAACTGTGTGACCGTAAATAAGTCACTTACTCTTTCTGAGTCTTGGTTTTCTCATTTGTAAGTTTGGATAAAAATGTGGTTAAGAAAAACATAGAAAAGCATTCCTTAATTATTAACACTTTTTATACTTGCAGATAATTTATCATTATTTAAGTTACAACTGACAATGCACATTTATATGCTTTTTTAAGTGAAAACTATTACTTATAAAATTTGTTTCATATCAAGTATATATGTGCCCAGAGCATGCTACCTAAAACCTCTGAAGAATCGCTAACAAGGTGTTGAATTAAAATCAGAATCCATGCTTTGAAGTGAAAGAAAAAGAAGTGAGATAGTTTATGGATAAGAGTGAGAACGTTTATCCCCAAGTAATCATAAAGATGAATTAAAGGAATTCAAAAATGGTTTTAGGTTTTGATCAAAGAGGAATTAGCACAGTACTGCTCCACAGATTCTGCCTACTCTTCAGGCACTCGATAAAAGTTGGGGTCTCTGCTCAAATAAGTCATGGAATTAAAATGATGTAGCAACTACCCAAGGAGCTAGGGAAAAAATAGAAGGTGTTCAGAAGATGGGAACCAACAAAGACAGCTCAGGGTTGGCTAACAGCAGCTTGTTGGGTAGAGGGAGAAAGCACTGTAGTGCTGGGAAGGAGACCTGACTGGACATCTTCAAAGGAGAAGATTCTTTCTGCCCTTTTCAAGAGATGCTCTCTGTAGTCGTGGGGCTACTCCCCAAAGAGGGGATGAGTAATTGTACGGCCCACTTGACTACTGCCAGAAGTAACTATTGCAGCACGTAAGCATTTTGCAATTTCATATTAAGAAATGAATAATGTAAATCTGAAAATTTTTCAAAAGCTCATTTCCCCCCATTAACTATTAAGCTAATTGCTCCCTCTGAAAAGAGAAGCTGAAAATCATCAGTCATTTTCAGATGTCCTAGGCCTTTATCTAAAGCAATCTTGAGAAGGTTGAGCTTCAAATCGAGAGCTTAGGAAAAGAGTGTTGCCAGTAAATAAAGGAGACAAAGCCAGGAGGGCAGTGACTCACCTGGGGTCACAGTGAACCCTTAGACCTCAGGTACCTGCTTCCTCAGCCTCTGTTGTGTGACACTGTGCATCCTCTGCTCATCCAGTGGTGGATGATGATCACACGCTTACTACAAGTCAGGTGGAAAGAAGGGGGGACAGATAATATACTTACTACATTGCTGATGAACGTAATTTAATTTTAATACTGTAGCCTTACTAAAAACCCTTTTGTTTTGTCTTTCACTGAACGTCATGCCGTAAGTCAAATATTTGATACCCTTACATAAAAATTTTAAAGTAAGGTCGTTAAGCAAATGCCTATTTCCAAAGCAATTAGCTTATCATGACTGTGGTTTTATTCTTTTATAGTATTTTTTCCCTTTATAATGGGTAGGGAAAATAATACTCACTTGCGTGCATTCTACCCCTTAGACTCTCCCACTCACCCTTGGTGCCCTTTCTGGTGTCCTAAAGCTTTGTCTTAATAAGTGCAAAATTAAATTTTTTGTTAAAACGTTTTTGAAACTGTATTCAGTGATTCTTCCAAGTTTATCTGCTCTGCACTATTTCACTAATAAACCCTGGCTACCACGTAGCCCTTGACCTCCAAGTAGTTTACCTATGCAAGACCTGTGACATTCTGAATTCACTTTTCTTTATTTCAGAAAGCA